CAGCTGTGAGGCAGCTGTGACTGCAACAGGCTCAGCTGCCCTAATTCCTTCAAGAGCAAAGCCCACCATTGATGAGGCTGAAGTCTGTACTCTATTCCACATGTGTATTCTTGAAAGTGCTGACCCATTGAACAGCCCGAGTGATTTTTTCCCATGCTGGGCTTACCAGCATCCTGATGCCACTTTTTGAAAACCAGTGATAAACCTCACAGAACTATCTATATTCCTTGGTCGCTATTTCTGGTGGATACTTCATTTTTATTGTTTTAGTAATTTCTTCTTTTTTTTCTCATTGACACTAAGAGAGAGCAGGCAGAAAAAGAAGATAAAATACACCTGCTTCACCATCCTCTTGGAGGTAAGTACACACTAAACTGGACTGGCAGAAACCTGAAGGGGAAGTCATATTACCATTCATCCCTAGTAAAGAAATGTATTATTTCCTGTACAGGTGCCTTGTGAGCAAGACATGGTAAGGGTAAGGGTTTGAGTTTGGGCTTTTTTTGACAAAGCAAGTCTTTATTTAAACATCAAAATCTGTGAGGTCAAATCATGCAGGAAAAATGTAATTTCTTGACACAGATTTCTTTGAAATCCAACTTAAAATGTTCCATCAGAACCAGAAAGAAAATTGCACTCCTTCCCCAAGTTTACCAGTTTCTCTATCAATTCTTGTTGGAGAAGTTTGGGTTTAGGAAGCAGATGTCTCCTACTAAGAAGGTCAAATGACTTCCCCCAGAAGGGCTGAGTCTCTTCTGCTGCAGCTTTTCCACTTTGTGTAAAAAGGTGAATAATTAGCTCCCCATGCCAAGAATCAGACTGATTACAGACTTGATTTATTTAAACTCTCCATACTAAACACAAGTGCACTAATCAGCTGACAACTGAATCCTTCCTATAAATCTTGGTCCAAATAATATTTAAGTCTATAAAACTGCTTAAAGAACAGAATTAAATTCAACCACAATTAACCCATATAACCTGACTGTATAAACATATCTGTGGGGGGGTCTCAAATCTTATTCTGGCTTCCTGAATTAGGCTTTCAACACCCATATTGTCTCTCACATCCACCTAAGTACCAAAGCTTCAAATACTAGGAACAAAAGAACAGAAATCCAAGCTCATCATTCAAATCTACTAACTCAAAACTAGCTGGATGGGTTTTTTTTTCAGAACTGGTGAATAGACCTTAGACCATTCTGCTGAGGCTACAAGCCCTGCAGAAGCTGGGACACATCTGAAAGTCCAGGCAACCTATGCACAAAAGTGAGAAAATGCTTTCAATAAGGTAGCACACTGCTTATTGTTTTTCCAGGTTACATTACTCAACGCTATTAAATGTTCTGTAAGCTGTGGAAGGGGATTTCCTGAAATAACACTTTTTTTCATGTATGACAGATCACGATGAGGATGTTACACTTCTGTTTGTATCCACAGTGCAGGTCTCTGGTTATTCCCAGAGGACCTCTGATGTGCTCATGCTGCATAGCAGTCAATCCTTGGAGGACAGCACTCTCTGCCCTTGGAGGCAGCCAAAAGCCATCTGGACTCAGTCCTAGGTAACCTGCTGTAGATGCCCCTGCTTGTGCAGGATGGTTGGACAAAATGCCTGCTATTCAAGGAACAAGCAGATCAGTCTCATCAGTGACTCTGAGAAGCTCTCAGATTTGCCTTCCCAAACCAAAACATGGATACCAGATGGCTCCTAGCAGCATGCATATTACCACAACTCCTGTGTGAGGCACTGGCATGGGCCCTGGGCTGGGGAAGGGCTGTGAGGTTGAGGGGCAGCTGAGCAGAGAGCAGGGCAGTCTGCACACTGCATGAACTCTGCAACCAATTGGCTGCTCCTGCCAATTTTTTACCTACATGCCTGTGTATTCCTGCATGTTGGCTGCATGCAATACAAGGTTCTGTCTCAAAGATGGTCCAGTCCACCTGTACTGGCTGGTTGTGCAGGGAATGGGGATGATCTGCCACAGCTTTAACCACTGACTAAGGGAGAGAGAGACTGGAAGGCAGCAGTGGCAGGCAGGACAGAGCTGCCTGACAAGGCTATTCCCATTGAGAGCCAAATTAGAATCTCATCTTTATTCATCATAAACCCAGAAAAAAAATCAATTGGCCAGTGAAATCACTAAACTGACTACAGATCTGGATGGCTGATGCCCCAGTGGTGATGAAGACTGCAGAAGGATAGACAATGCAATGTTCATTTTCAGTACAATAAGTGCTCCTGCCTTTGGTAGACTACACCATTAATCATAATGGAAACAGGCCTGAGCACAGAGGTCATTCACAAAGCACAGCACCTGCAAGTGAGGCAGGATTTAACCATCGCTTAAAGCACTGCTGAGCTTGGATGATGCTGTCATTCATTCTTGTACTCTGTGAGCGAGGCCACAACAATTTGTGCATGCAGAAAACACAAGTAGCACTGGAAATGTGTATGTGCCCGTACCTCAGCTTTGGGCTCCACGTTTATTCTGAAATTTGTGGCAAGTATGATGTTAAAAATTTGAAAAAGTCCCATGTAGGTTTCCTCAGAGTCGCTGCCCTAGCACGACCCTCATTCCTTTGAAACAGGCTGATATTGCAGTTGTGTGATGGGTTTGCTCATGTAATTACACCTCATTCCAGCTCTTCTAGTGCCTTAATTTGAACAAAATGGAGTAATTTGGCACTTTGCTTTGGAGACAGTGGGAGGTGAAAAATTCACTGCTTTCTGTGAACCTCTTGAAAAAATGTAGAACCAGCATTTCGCTTTCATTTCTTAGTTTGAGTATTTCCAATCCTGCTGGTAGGTGAATAAGTCTCAAATACCATATTGTGGAAATACTAAAACTTTCCAATCACAGCAGTATAGAAGAAAGAATTGTTTTCAATTAAAACCACTAAAATATCCTAAGAAATAGACTTATGTATGCTCTCTCTCCTTCAGGAGATCATGTGATTTAAGATCCCCAGCTGTATGTAGAGGTTATGGAAAATGAACTTGTGTGCTACTAAACAGTTAAAACTGTTTTCTTCTGTTGAATACTGTGAAGAAGGATCACAATTTTCCCTCAGTGTGTCCAGCTGGTACAGCTAGTTCCTAAGTATGTATCCAAATTATAAATATATTAAACAGCAATTTATGGTCCAGCCCTATAATTTCACAGGATATTATGAGATCAGGAACTTCAACAGATATCAAAGGCACAAGGCAGATATAACTCTATTTTTCTTTTAACTGGAAATTGTCTTAATTGTCCAACAGTATCTGAACATAGTATTCCCAGGATTCTGTTAAATTGTGTTTAGTTGTGGACCACAAAGGAACTTCTCTCAAGGCTTCAATATTCATGCTCCTGCCCTTACAGTACATGGCCCTTCAACCCAAAGCAGAGCAGGCAAATTCTAAGTCTGATCACAAGATGTTTTCTGAATGTTAAAAACTTATTTGTACGATGATTACTGCCCCCACTGATGTTTTCAGGATAACACCTCAAAAAGCCTTAGAGGACTATCACAGCCCATCAGGAATATCAATAATATATTTTTTATCTCATGGGAACATTACACTACCTGAACTCATTCATTATCTAGCAATAGGGAATCAGTGAATCTGGTAGGGACTAACAGAAGAGTAATTAGAACAAAATCCAGGTTTAGGAACTTTTTAGTAATTTACTTATGATACAAAGTATGGATTGATTTTCAGGTCTAAGCATTAATAAAGTACATAGCCGCTTCTCATTCATCACATCCATCCCTCCCTTTAACTTCCCTAGTTTCAGAAGGAAGGTACAGCAACTAGCTCATAGTTTGTGGGTTTTTTGCATTGTTAACCACCTTGTTATATAAAGTTGGCACTAGCAAGAACTTTTCTTGACAACTTTTTATTCTAATTGTGTCCCCTCTCTCCTCAAATGTCATCCAACCTGCAAGAAAAATGGCAATTAATACAACAGTGGAAAATAACAACACTGTCTCTTCAGATGGTTCAGTAGTTTACCACCAGTAATTGGCTCTTCACTGCAGGACAGTATCATAATTTTAATTGCGAGTTTTCAACCATGGCATATAATGTGGCTCTTCATAGATACATTAATGAATGTTTGCTGCTCCTTTATGAATTCCTGTATATCAGCCTCACAAATAACTGAAATTTCCAGCATGCACTCTACACTCAGCAAATTGTTTTTTTTTTCACTGAATGAAAGATCTGCTTTTTACATGAAACTACTCAGGCCATAGTTTTTACAAAACACCTCCAAAACACAGGAAGAAAAAAACCCAAAGAAACCCCAAAGTAATTTAACTCAAGTGAATGACCTAAAAATTTTTCTAATATTCAGTAGCAGGTTTCACTACTCTTTACCACCATTTGTATTATGCAAAATGACTCCCCTTTAAATATTTATAATTGGGCCCACATTTCAAGGCTAAGGTCCTCATATAATAAACTATTACACTTTCAAAGAGTGTGCAGTTAAGTAACCAGAACATTTATAATGCACATTCACAGCGTACAATAGTTTTATGCTAAGGTAACCAGCTGGAACAAATGGGAGCTATTGCAGTATAAAACTCTAGAAAAGCTGTGATTAATCAGGTATAGGTCCCTGTGGCATGTAAGTATATTATTTGCATAAATAGAGGCATGGGCATTCGAAATCATGGCTCAAGAAAAGAGGAGAGACCACTGAAGGAAAAGTTGCAATTTAGCCCCAGAAATATCTTTCCCCCCCTAAGCAGAGCTATTGCTGATCAAGAGAAAACTACATGCTTCTGTGGCTGCTGCAACGCCTTTCTGTTTGTAACACCATTATGTCAAGATCAGACACAAGCATTTTGATGTGAAAAAAGAGAAGAGAAAGAAATGGGGAAGATAAAGAAGAATGAGGAGGAGAAAATGAAGACATTTAGCAATAGAAAAGCAAATCTGCGCTGCAATTCCACCAACCCACAGAATTTTAATAAACTTTTTTTTTTTTGCAACGTTATCCACTTACCAACATCAGGATCAGTTGCTTGGACTCTTGTTAATAAAGCTTTAGTGGCTGTGTTTTCATAAACACAAGCAGTGTAGTGGTCAGATGAAAACACTGGTGGATTATCATTAACATCTTCTAAGATAAGATGGATTTCTGACTGGCAAAACCTGCCACCACCATCAGTGGCTCGGGCAACCAAGTTGTATGCCGGGATTTTCTCTCGGTCCAGAGGTGCCAAAGATTTCAGCTCACCTGAAATTATTTAAAAGCAGCAGCTATCATTATTATTGTAGCAACATCACTAATTCTAGACTGCCTGAATGTCTCAAAACCATGTGTTCCACAGGAATGGGAAAGAGAAAACAAAACCAACATTGCTTATTCCAACAAAGAGATTAAAAACTCACAGCAGTGTCACTTCCCCTTCCTCTTTACCCAAGAAAGTGAGGTGCCAATATGAGTGCAGGGATGCCAAGCCATTCATGGTGGCTTTAACAGTAGCCTAAGCTTCACCCATACAAACACCACCATGTTTCTCCACGTCTTTCTTTCTGTCACTCTCAAGATTTATAGACTTCTTAACACAGAAACATTCCCTTTTTAGCAGTACCTGCTGGGATATGACAAAGAGTAATAGTTTTAAATTAAAAAAGGGTAGATTTAGACTAGATATAAGGGAAGACATTTTTTATGATAAGGGTGGTGAAACACTGGCACAGCCCTAGAAAACTTAACTGGATGGGTCTCTGATCAACATGATCTCTTTGAAGATGAATCTGCATATGGGTTTGGCCTAGATGACCTTCAAAGTTCTCATCCAGCCCAAAATATCCTGTGGTTCTATGATAAATCTCTGGTCTAACTTGGAGCTGCAGGGAAACAAAAGGATGGATATCCACTGTTCTGGTTATAACACCCAACCTGGCCAACAAAGATGTCCCTCTTCTCCCTCCTGTTGCTACCATTCGAATGGTCACCCACATCTGCCAGAACTGGAACAACTGCTTGATAGCCACATGTAACCTAACTCTGATTAAGGAAACCAGGACCCAGATGTAGAGGGGTTAACGCTATTCAGAAACATTTGGTTGTCTTCTTACCATTTTCTGGATCTAAGAAAAATTTATTGTTCCCCGAACCATAAAGAGAATAGCGAATTTCACCATTGGGCCCGATGTCAGCATCTTTAGCGCTGATTTTGAGAATTACTTTGTTTGGTGGAATGTCTTCAGGAAACAATGCTGTGTATGCAACCTAGAGTCAAAAACAGACATGCAAGTAATGCTGTAGCAGTGTTTTAGTCTTTGAACCACCTTTTATTAAAAACTATTTGTAGTAGTTTATTAAAAACTATTGTAGTGCATCTTTCTGTACAGGAAACAATTTTCCTTTACACAACACATTCCTAGAAATTCAAATCACTGTTAAGCTTTAAGGTGTCACAGAAACAATGCCAAATTATGACTGTGAATAGGGCTCATCTCAGGTGCTTAATGCAATACCATTTTGTATCTTCTGTTTATTCCATTGACACCTATGAAATGAAAATCTTGATGAGTGTGCTAACAGAAACAATTGTTTTTATCACCTCATCAAGCAGTTTTGAGGGAAATACAGATTGCGATTCCCCAGAGTGGTTCTTGCAATGAGACTAATCCAACAGTGAATGATAATGTAATAATGGGAATTATATGAGTATGTGCATGCACACACACACACACACACACACATTTATAAATTTTCTGTGACTAGTACCAGCAAGGAACTCTGGGTTTTATCATGTTTTTTTTCTTTCACGCAGACCTTTCTGTTACACTAGCATGAGTTCCCTAGATTGCCTTTCCACAAAACAAGACAGCTAGCACTCTGAAAGCTGTGGTCAGGCCACACTACATCCATTCTCTACAACAGGACATATATTCTTCTCTTCCACTGGATGTCTGGTATCTAGAAAATTGAGGAAAGCTGGAGTTAAACCAGATGGATGACATTTCCACATGGGTGGTGAAGGGACAGCTCATTCTTTTTTACAGGGGAGGAGTAGCTGCCCAATGCCACCTCACAACACATCATCTGTTGTAAAGCCAACTAAGGCCACAGCATACAAGACTCCTTTGAAAGCTTATGAGACCATTATCTTTCAATCTTGGCTTCACGGGAATGCTTTATTCTGCTTCACTCCCAGATCACTCCAGATTCTTCAACTAAGACAATAAGGATGAAAATCAGCATTGCCTAGGAGTACTCTGAGTACTTGCAAACAGCAAGAGACACCCGTAGGGAAAGCACTGCTCTCAACACAGTGGCCAGTGCCATGGGTGGTGTTAACTCACCTGCTCACAAACAGGACTGTTGTCATTAACATCAGTGACAGTCACTTCCACAGCAGCCTGGGTCACAAAGAGGCCATCTGTGGCAGTGATGTTCAGATAATAAATGTCTTGCTCTTCCCGATCCAGAGGCCTTTTAACATAAACTTTCCATTCGTTCTGAACCAGTCCCAGAGCGAACTTTCCTTTGGGATTCCCTCCTGTAATAAGACAGGCAACACACAATGAGCTGTGGTTTCCCTTCAGAGCTCCCACCTGGTTTAAACACAGAGACACATCACTAAGCAGCCATGATTTCTTTCACAGCTTTTGGTGCTTCCAAACTTGCAGACTCAGGAAAACTGTAATGAAATTACACTCCCTGTGTTTACTGCCCCCTGAATGCCCTGTATGAAAGTGAACTGATAACTTTCAGTGGAAAAAAAATCCATTTAGCAGAGCTGAAGATGATCTCTTGTACAGTTCTCCGTAAGGGTAATCAAATTCAAACTGTGAACAATCAATAGTCCTCTCGGGCTGGTACAATTGTCTTTCCACTCAGTCTCGGGAGAGGATGTAATACACCGTAGCTCTTGTTACCAAGACAATTTCATTAGCTGTTGATTATGCAATCAAGGACTGGAAGTGGGTTCTATTAAGGAATCCTCTAATGAAAGCTTTATCATACAGCTGCGCCATTCTGGTGCTTATTAAAATTCTAGTTTTTAAAAAAGTTTACATGACACAGGAAGACACATTAGTATTAAATAGTCCTAACAAGAGGTCATTTGAGGAACAGTTGGAAGACAAACAGTACAAATGGATCAAATCTATGTGAGAGTGAAAGCTGGTGAAGAGTGTGCAGGAGATAAAGCAGAAGAATTTTTTACCATGACATAACACTGACACTGACTCTGGCAATGTTGCTCTTCCACATCACTAAACTGAATCGTGACAAAAAGAGGTTGGGAGAGGGAAAGTTTTGGTCCACATCATCCTCAGGAGGAAGGGAAGGGAAGGGAAGAACATGCCACATACAGAAGTGTGCAATAATTAAGGCAGGCACAATAGTTAATGTTTCTAACAGTTATTTACTCTTTTATCTGAAATAGTACAGTCTCCTGCCTGGTCTATGAAGAAATCACTTTTAACCACCTTTCTGTGTGTCAGATCTAAAACTCCTGTCAGACCAGGCAGTAAAATCTTTTAAACCAATGTTGTGACTTTGCTAGTCAGCTAAGCCCCATACAGCTGCTTGCTCATTTCCTCCCCAGTGGGAATAGGAGGAGAATCTGACGAGTAAAAGTAAGAAAACCCATGGGTTGAGACAAAGACAGTTTAATTGTCACCCTGACAGTTACTTGGGAAGATAAGGACCATTAACTCTGAACATCTCTCCTTCCTCCCTCTTTCCTCAGCTTTTATATGCTGAGCATGCTCCATATAGAGTAGAATATCCATGTGGTCAGTTGGGATCAGCTGTCTCAGCTGTGTCTCCTCCCAACTCCTTGTGCACCCCCCTCTCCTCACTGGTGGCTTGCCTGAGGACTAGAAAAGAACTTGACTCTGTGTAAGCTCTGCTCAGCAGTAACTAAAACATCCCTGTGACCTCACAGATCCAAATCACAGCTCCATAGCAGATTCTTTTTAGAAAATTAATGCTACCCTAGCCAAAGCCAGTAAAGCCAACTACCCAGTCTCCTGGGCCCAGCTTGGTCTGTATATTTAATAATTGAGGATAGAGCACTACACTCATAGCAAACTCATGTACTACAGAAACTGAGTGAGGAAATATTAAAAAGCATCATGATGCTCCACTGGCTGAACTCTAATTGCAGCCAACCCACTACAAGCTCTCTGCCCGCCATATTAAGCTTTCTCCTATGGTCTCCATGCAGGAATTCAATCTCAGAACTACTTTCCATGTTGCTCATGTTTAAAAGTGCTGTAAAGCTATAAAGAGAATGCTTATTCTTTCTTGTAACACATTCAAGAATGTCAAATATGCTAGTGTGCATTTGCTTACAAATTAATCAGGGTTCTGACATGTGTCGTGGGATATGTACAAGCTGAATGGAAAGACCAGGCTCTTAAACCTTCCCCTCTAGTACTTCCACTGAATGATAGCATAAGAAAGTATTAAAAAACCAAAACAATCCAAGGCTGAATTTATTTGTGTTGACTCTGTTGTCAGGCAATTACTGTCTCTGATATGATGCTTCTGTTGTCACAATTCTGTCAGTTCTCAGGGACCTTTTTGTCAAAATAACAACAACAGAGGAGGTCTGAACTTCAAGTTGAGCTTAAAGCCAATCAAAAAAGTCAAATGTCCATTCCATACCTTCTTTCTACATCAAAAAGCAGGAAAGAGGTCACAGGCTGTAATCTATGCCTTCTTCATTAGCTATCAATGACAAGATAGACTGGTTTCTATTTAATATGAAAACTAAGTCAGTTGAGTCAGGCTGAGCAAATCTTTCTTGTTAAGAGTCACCATTTGTGCTAGCTGTGACTGTGCCAAAAAAAGCAAGTCGTAATGAAGAGGATTTCCAGAAAATTAGTCATACAGATAAAAGGCTTTTGAATCATACAGCACTAAACTCATGTATCAAATACAAATATTTTCTGTTGATAGAAAACCATCCTTTTTGATCACAAAACTAAGCATTTTTCCTATTGATTTCCATGATAGTCTGGAATAATCACCATTGTTTAATCTGTTGTGTCATATAGACACACATATAGACACACACCTAAAGAAGGTTACAGAGAGTGTTGATGTATACTACTGCCCAGATCTGAAATTCTCCTAAAGAAGGTTACAGAGAGTGTTGATGTATACTACTGCCCAGATCTGAAAACAATCCAAGGAAATGAGAATCTGTCCACTGACTTGAGCTTGAATGTGACTTCAAAGAAGGCAGACCCCTGCTGATTGACATTAAATTCCTTCTATTCAATTCAAAACCAGCATAAAAAAAGCTTAACTTTCCTTTATAAAAGGCTGTAATCTTGTCATAGTGAGTTTAATGTTGTAAACCATTAATAAAAGTAGTCTTAAATATTCTTATTTTGCTTCATGATATTAATCAGGGCTTTCCTGCATATTAGTCCTTTTGTAAAAGGAAATGATTAACTGTCCTGACCAACTAGGAAGCAACATACTCAAGGTATGGGCATCCCATTGCTAAGAAAAGAGGAAAGGTAAAATCTAATTAAAATCAGCTGGTGGCTTTTATGGTTAGCAGATACACTACCTTGGAGCAATTTTAAAATCACTGTTGCTTTGTTGCTAATGGAATGGCTTTTAAATCATACCAAGGAATTTGGGGAATATGTATAAAAACAGTCTTTGGGATCTCTTTTCCCCCTTTTTACTGCAATAGAAAAGAATCAGTCTGAATGACCAAGAAATCTGTGCAATAAACAGGAATAGTGGTTTATCTGCCTGTCTTTTTTATGAGCACTTTTTTGTTTTTTGGTTTTTTTTTTGCTTCTCAGGACTGGCTCTATACTTCACTGATGGAAGGCAAAGGTGGACTATAAAGTGTAAGAGATATAATGAGATATAAAACTAAAACACCACCAAGAAAATATTCTCAAAAATGGAAAGGCAAAAAAATCCACACTGTGGCCCAGGAAACCATTTCCTAGTACTTTTACATATGTCTTGATGCAGATCTCGTTCTGCAGTGATTAATTAACTTTTTCACTAATATATGCAAGCAGATTCAGTTTCCTAGGGGCATTCTAATTAATTAGTTTTTCGCTCTGAATAATGTAGCTTTTCTAAACGGAAGCCTCCTGACTACATGTATTAATGGATTCTTTAAAATCTTTTGGCAGTTTTCTTATGTTCTACTTTGAATGTCAAAACAGTGAAGTGCTAGCTACAAAAAACACTCCAGTAACTTTTAGAAAGGCTTTGAGGCTAAAAGAATCAGCAGTATCTTTTATCTTTTGTTACTTGAAGTTTAAATAATGCTCTCCCTCCTTCCCTAGTCAGCAAATACTACAAAGCCAAATCAAGCTCAAGTTGAAGTAAAGAAAGAAAACAGCCAGATACAAATGAAATGCAGAGACACAGTGATCCAAAATAAACAAATCCTGACACACATCATTACTAAAGCACACACAGAGGCCATTATAGCAACTAAAAGGGAATGGAAAACTAGAAGCCAACAGTATCAGTTTTCACTGCAATGTCCCCATCTGGGAGGGGGAACTGAATATTTACTAACTTATTTATTTAGCTTCTATCTTACATTTATGCATTTATTTAAGTACTTTCAATTCCCAGTTAGAACTCTAGGCATTCGCATTACACAAAATCAATACGTTTATCCTCCACTCCCAGTTTAAGATGTTGCATGTTTACTCAGCTTCTGAAATGATAAATTCAATCCTCCTAGCTTTACTACCATAAAACTGTACAAAGTGTTCTTCATCTGGCAACACAAGACCTTCCCAAACACTGAAATATCAATTTCTCCAGAATTCCAGTATCTCAAATATATGATAAAAACTAACAAAACCCACACCTTTGCTGACACTGGAAAATCAACCCAGCAAATGACCTACAGTGTACAATACCACTTCTTTCTTCCAAAACACACTGTCCATCTTCCTTGTACTCAGCTGAACCAAGCTTACAGAATGTTGCCTCCCTGGCTTTATGCGCCAGAGGAAGCTCAATTAACATCACTGAGGAACACAAAACACTTTACTGTACCAAAGTCTTGGCAGCTGACATTTTTCTGGTGGCTTTTCATGGTTTGCCACTCTTAAATCTCAGTAATATCTGGCTGGGTGTAGATTGGCTAGACATCAGAAGAACCCTGGTTTTAGGCAAACTGCCCCAAATGATATAGGCAATGACCTCAAATGAGCCTTCAAAAGAAAACTACTTTGCTTCCTAAGTGCATTTGTGTCGTCTGCACTTCCTATTGATTTTCTATTAAGATTTATGTATAGTGCTTTTGCTTTGTGAACATCTCCAGCTGCTACTGAACTACAAATAACCAAGAGTAAGTGCAAAATCTTTTCCCCCACCATCAAATGCAAATGAAGGTGGATTTGACAATGGCAACTACGTGCCAGTAATAATGAAAAACAATCATAAACTGAAGGAATCCAAGCAGAATATTTATTTATCCACACGAATGTATCTACCCCTTTTCAAGACCGACCAGAAGACTGCAATAGGCATTTGTACGTCTCAAAAGGGCACGAAGGACTCTTCAGTGATCACATCTGCCCCAGATTATTTATTTCTCTTATCTTCTAAATAATGATTTCTTCTATCTATCTTCTATGTGCTACTTTTCTCCAGATGCATTTTCACCAAGCTGTTTTTGGTGGATACACATGACAGCCTCATAGTTTGTCTTCTTCCTTTTTGTTAATGTATCATTTTTACTCAGAGTTTACTGTATTCACAGAAGTTCTATCAATCAAAATGCTTCAGAAAGACACAGCTTTTGAATAATCATCTAGCTAATCTGATTCCATGAAATACACAAGTGCACTTCCTGAGATCAACCTGAGGTAAAATGTGAATAGACTATTTTGTGAGTGAAACTATATTTTAACATGTTTTGACATTTTAATCAAAAGAACCTAATTTTTCCTTGTGCATTTCCCAAGCTCAAATGATATATTCAAAGGAAGTGGAATTTCTGAGTCCATTCTGTGCTTTAGTAATTGTACACTAAGAAAGTTTTGGGCTTTGACATCTAATGTTTTCAGAAGTTAACAGAACAGCAAAATATCTGTCATATTTTGAACTGTGGCAGAAACTAAGGTACAGAATGATCTGTAATTTATGACTCATATCTGACAGTTGCTATTCAAAAGTCCAGTTTTTGCTAAATTAAGAGCACTGTTACGTGAAATAAAAATACCACCTAACTAAAGGCATAATGCATTATAAGAGATGACTGCCAGACTCCACAACAAAGCCAATGATCCCAATGCCCTAACATATCTTTGTTACAAACCTAAGGGTTTTCATTTCCCATCATACTTTGTACATTGGGATCGCCAAACTCTTTCAAATATCCCAAAATCTTTAATATGAGGCACTACTGATTTATTTTTACATATGTGGGAACTGGGCCACCAGCAGCTACTGCACCTTGCCCAGTGCCTCTAAATTCTGACATTTACATACAGGACTACTTTTCCCCCTACTTCTAATATCCTACAGCTCATTACACTGTTAACACATAGTCTTTGCAAATCTTTAAAGTGAATCCAAAATTTCAAGTTACAATTAAACAACAAATTTCTGGTTGCTTTGAAAATGATGCCACTTGTGATGCAACACAGGCAGTCTGTGGCTAACTGAGGTGTCACACCTCTCTCTACACACCATCTCACAGCCATTTTTGTTTTGATAGCTAACAAATGGGTAGGAGCTTTACCTTCTAGAGCAAAATACACAAACTATTTTCCGATTAGTTAAGTAATTTTTGCACATAGCCTGCTTCCTACATGCAGTCTAATATATGTTGAATCCCATCCTGTGTGAAAAATGTGGGTTTTTCCAATAATTTGGTTATTACTAGGTAGTTAATAATAGCTCTTGAATTGCTAAGGTTGGGGGAGTGAAAAAGTTGTTCCCTAACAAAAGCTATTGGACAATGCAAGATGGAAGGAGAAAAATAACTGCAGCACCCATCACTCATAACATACTCACACAAAAGCTAGTCTGAATCTAGGAGAAAAGAATGATAATAAATACACAATAGGAAAGTGCAACGTTACCATGCTTTGAAAAATGTGTTAGTAATGTAATCAAAATTTCCTTATACTGTATATAACAATGCATGGCAGCTAACCAATGCTTCCAAGTATATTACTATTTCCCTGGCCAGAAATCTGTGCTGATAATAAACGGCATCCCTCATTCCATAATGTAAAATTCATTTGTGCCCCCACCCCCATTCCAAATAGTGGTATTTCAAAACGGCTCTGGCATCCACTTTCCTATCTCAAAAAGAAAAATGTTATTTCAAAAGAAATTTAAATGCTTGGAAGTAAAAGTATTTTCTCTGTAAGAAAAAAATTTTCCCTTTCCCTTGTTTGAAACATTAATTTGTGATGGTTTTCAAGCTGACATATCAATTATGATGGGTTGATGGCTACACTACATTGCACTGCAGTAAATCAGGAAGCATTCATCTTGGAAAATTGAGAGAGCAACACAGACACACACACACACACATTCCTCTCCCTCTTTTCAGCTTTGCTGAAAATCTGTCAAAAAAAAAAAAAAAGGAATGTAATTGACTCATTCATAGTGATAATTTAGCTGAAATCCTGCTAAACATTCACCTAAAACTGGACACATGCACAGTTCTTCAGTAAGCTGGTTATGGGAAGAAAGCATGCAAGCTGTTTCTCACCTGTAATATGGTAGCTAACCTGCCGATTGACATCAGACGTGTCTTCATCCCAGGTGCTAAGAACAGCCACAACTTCCCCTGGAGGGTCACTCTCCTTCACCGACCCTCTGTACACCTCGTGCTCAAAGACAGGTGCATTATCGTTTATATCTGTCACAGTAACTGAGACCAAGGTGGTTGAGGACAAGGACAAAGCTTCCCCCAGATCTGAAGCCACCACTGCAAAGGTGAAAGCAGAATCCTTTTCATGGTCCAGATCCTTCAGTGTACTGATCCAGCCACTGTTGCTATCAATGGTGAATGCTTCTGCGATCTTCTGCAGCTCCGATTCCACCGCAAGCGTGTACGTGACCTGCCCATTCGCACTCGAGTCTGCATCAACCGCCTTGACTTGCATAAGTTTTGTTCCTATAGGCATCCCTTCCATTATTACGGCATCATAGCTAGCTGCTTCAAACACAGGCTTGTTGTCATTTACATCCAACACCTTCACCTCCACATCCACAGTCAGCACAATGTCTACTTTGTCTAGCTGAATTGTGGCCGCAACTTTGAAGTGAAAGGCGGGATTTATTTCGTGGTCAAGTCTCTTATCCAATTTTATGAGCCCTGTGTCCTTCTCTATGATGAAAACCCCTTCTCTGTTGTTTTCAGATAGCTCACCATTAACTGTGCTATACAAAGCACCCTGATTGGGCAAAACATGCAGAATGTCAATAGTACTGCCTATGAGGGTGTCTTCCGCCACAGTGAAAGAATACTGGGGTTGAGAAAAAGAAGGCAAAATGGTTTCTGGTGGTAAAACATGGATGTAGACAGGAATGAGGGAATGCTTTACAGGAATGCCACCATCAACTGCTTTGACAAAGAATGACAGAACAGTGTTTTTCAGTTGGTTAAAGCTACCCTTGGTGACCATCCATCCATTATCTGGATCAATTTCAAGCAGATCAGCTACTGAAACAGAGGCTTCGCTATACAGAGAATAGGTAATTCTGGAATTGGCTCCATCATCTGGATCTACTGCTTGCACTTGGGTCACCAAGTAACCTTTCCCAACATCTGCTTTGACACTTGCTCTGTATTCGACTGTCATAAATTTGGGAGCATTGTCATTCTCATCCACTACTATCACTCTCACAGTGCAAAACGTAGTTCTGCCACCTCCGTCAAGGGCTCTCAAGAATATATCTATATCATTTTCCAGCGGGTTCTCACGGTCTAACCTCTCAGTTGTCAGAATCTGCCCATTTGCATCAATCAAAAATCGGTCCTTGGCGAAGTCATTTATTATGGAGTAGCTGATCTGGCCATATACCCCTGAATCCCCATCTGTTGCCTTCACATGGATAACCTTCATTCCAGGAGCAGCGTTTTCTCTAACCTCTGCAACATAAATGCTCTGTGAAAACACAGGGCTGTAGAGGTTGGCCCCAAGGATCTGAATGTGCACCTGCGCCGTGCTGGTGAACAGCCCGTCTGACACAGAGACGTTCAGGCTGTACATGGGCTCCATCCTCTGCTTGCGATGGTTGGAAAGGGTGATAACACCGCTCTTGCTGTCCATAACGAAACTGGTCCGATCATTTCCTGACAGGATGCTGTACTCCAGTCTGTCAAAGTCAGAGCTGTCAGCATCAGAAGCTTGGACACAAGTCACAAAATGACCCCGAGGTGCCAGTTCGCTCACGTATGATTCATATATTAACTGGTTAAAAACTGGAGGGTTGTCATTCATATCTGTTATTGAGATACTGACAAGAACCTCGCTGCTCAGAGGTGGGAACCCATTATCAGTTGCTCTGACTTTCAAGCTGCACTGCTGTATGACTTCATGATCCAGCATTCGGGCTGTCAGAATTAGGCCACTGCTGCTGTCTATATGGAAATAGTCAGTGCTGTTAAAGGTGTCCTGGACGATCTGATACTGTACAATCTTGTTATTGTCAGAGTCAGCATCAGTAGCAACAACCTGCAGCACAGGAGTCCCAATCAAAGAAGCTTCAGACAGAGTAGCATTATAAGCTGACTGATCAAAAACTGGAGGATTATCATTAACATCATTAACAATCAAGTCCACAGTTACCTCAGCACGGGCGCCAGTGAGAGCATCACTGGCTCGCACCATCAGCTTGAAAAGAGAATTTATTTCATAGTCCAGTGGGCTGATGACACTCAGAACTCCAGTATCAAAGTCGATATTAAATTGGTTGTAGGGATCTCCATCAACAATTATATAAATTATACCCTGGCCTTCTGGACTGGTTGCATTTATGCTTAAAATTGGCATGTGCATTTCTACATCTTCATTCACAGAAGCTGTATAGAAGGGCTTGTCAAACACGGGCATTGCTTTGTTAACAATAGTAATGGGGAGCTCTACTGACGCAGACAATGATGGGTTACCACCATCTTTGGCAAGAATGACAACCAAGTACTCTATATTAGACAAATCAGAATTGAAGGCTTCTTTTAAAGTGACGCTGCCAGACCCTCTATCAATTTCAAAATGTCCATAGTCTTCCTTCAGCAGATATGACACCTCGCCATTGTCACCCTTGTCTTTATCAATAGCTGTCACTCGATATATCAGGGTACCAGGTTCAGCATCGACCTGCACAGCAGCGTAGTATGGAAGCCCTACAAACACCGGGGCATTGTCATTTATGTCCTCAATGTAAACTCTCACCACGACTCGAGCAACACGGAGGTGATCTAGCTCACGGCTTGCTTCCACCACCAACTCATACAGCTCCTGTTCCTCTCGGTCAAAGGGGATGCCAGTGGTCTGAATGACTCCTGAGGTGGATTTGATTTTGAATTTGTTCCCTGGGTTTAATATGCTGTATTTCAAAGGCTCATTGAGGCGGTTGCCAACAGCATTCACCACAGCGATCTTTGTGATATTGGTGCTGTTTTCTGATATAGAAGTGGAATAAAAATTTTGTGTGAAATGGAGTCCACTATCCATAGCTTCTTTTACCATTATTGTCACCATAGCAGTGCTATAAAATTTCCCATCAGATACTCTTACTATTAGCATATAATGGTCTTTGGAGAGACTATTGTTTTTAATGGTGAGTACCCCTGTGCTTGAGTCAATTAAAAAATGCTCCATATTGCCTTCAATTATACTAAATGTTAGTTCTGGAGGAATCTCTGAATCTGGGTCTGAAGCTTTGACTTTGAGAACCTCAACACCAATATACGTGGGCAGGAGCAAGACTGTCTCAAACACGGCCTGGCTGAAAACTGGTGGGTTGTCATTGACATCAGTTACCTCAATGGTCACTTCAACTGGGCTCTCTGCTGTAAGCTGGGGATTCCCACTGTCTCTAACATGAACATGGAAGTGGAAGTGGGCTATCGTTTCATGATCTAAATTTGCAATTGTTCTGATTGCACCCGTGCTGGAATCTACTGTGAAATACTTTTTTGCAGTTGATTCCACAATCTGGTAGACAAGCAAAGCGTTCTGGTTGCTGTCAGCATCGGTGGCACGTATCACGAGGGGACTGTTGTTTGCACTCCGGACCACGCTGTTCACAGGAGCAGCCTCGCTTATGCTGCCCGAGTACTGAGAGAAGAGAAAAACCGGTGGGTTGTCATTTTCATCAACAATCTGAATGTTCACAGTGGCATTTGATGCCATGCCTGCCATATTTGTTGCCTGTACGATGAGCTGATAGGAGGAAGCACGTTCATAATCAAGGGCCTTTTGACTGGTGATCACTCCAGAATATGGGTTTATGGTGAAGACTCCATCAACATTGCCATCTTTAACCTCATAAACTAACGTGGACTGACTGATTGCAGAGAGAGAAATGACAGAAGTACCAATATCCACATTTTCATTGACCTCTGCTTGGTATTCTCTTAGAGTGAACTTAGGGTGGGAGTTATCTGCCATCGTGACAGATATCCGCACAATTGCTGTTGCAGACAGCGCTGGAGAACCTTGATCAGTCACTTTGACTGACAAAACAAACTGTCCCATTGTGGTTAAGTCTGGCTCTTTGAGTAATGTAATGATGCCTAAAACTGGTTCAATCTTGAATGTGTTTCCCGTGTTTCCTAAAACAAAGATATTGAATGAGATTAGAAATGAAATATGACTCACTTTATGGTAACTTAAACCAGGACCAACAAGCTGCATTTTTAAAGGTTGTTACTTAAATAAAAAACCAAAAAACAAACCCCAATGTAACAGTATTCTGAAGGCCCTTCCAGCCTTTCTTTCTGCTAATTAGAGAGCTCAGTAGATGGTATAGCTATTCAAAGCATCAGAAACTCAGGTGCTGCTACCTCTGTATCTTGATTCTCAATACCAGCAACAGAGCAAGAACTGCATGCACATTACTCCTACTGAAGTAAGGAAAAGCATCCCTAAATTACAGAAATTAGTCAAATACATGTACACCTAAGGCAAAGAAATGAAATCAGAGGCTAACAAGCCAATTACATGAGTAATGGATAACAACTCAGGCTCCTAATTGAATGGGATATTAAGAAACCATATAGGAGATTACAGTAGTTCAAGACTCTAAGAACTGAATATAAAAAGGTTAAAGTGGCATTTAGAAAAAATAAAACAGAGCAAATAGCACAGAAAAGAGATTCAAGTGTCTTGTGGCACAAAGTTTTATCATATGATCTCTGAGGAGGATGAATCCAGATGAATGAGATTTAGCAGAAAATGTCATGAAATGCCTGTTACAACATGAAAGCATGGATATCACTGACTGCATAAAGGTGAAAACAGTAAGTTTGGATCAGAGAACTTTTGGGGGCCTTTCTTTCTGTTTTTTTTGCCAATCTCTTTTTCAGCAAAACAGATTCAAAACTTTCTGTATGTATTCCTGTCCTGTAATTTGAGATCACCTTTTATTGGCAATCCTTATTTTGCTGTTTTACTGAGTGCTTGCTTGAAGTAAGGATGCTGCATATATACATGGCATACATAAGCATACAGACTCTTTTCCTGATTTTGATTCTAAATAGAAACAGCATACACTGAGCAATTTCAATCACTATACCATGTTCCCTCTATTGTAATTCACATCTTCAAATCTAGAGCTGCTTCCAATCTATGGTCAAGCATCCATTCAAGGCTGGGAGAGAAATATATCTCAGGGGATGGACAAAAGGGTTTTTTTGAAGTGTGATTGTTACAGGTGCTGCGCACAGAGCAATAAATGTGTAAGTTGTAGCTGGAACACCTAAATACATGGAATCCTAAAGGAAGTGAGGTAATGTGAACTATTTTTAAGATATGATTCATTATCTGTTGTAAATTCTGGAGGATAATTTAAGCTACATACTATTCTATGTAGTTCAATACTGGTACTGGATTTCTATTTATGTCCTTCCTTTCAGATCAGTAAAGTTTACTCTGCTAGCTAAACCAAAAATTGTGATATTCACCCAGGAGGTGAGATTCTTCCAGAGCTACAAATCCTCATAAAAATAATGGCATCTGTCACATTTACAGACACTACAAATGCTGCTGCTGTTATTTTGTCAGTGCTTGCTAATATAAATAATTTTGAGCCACTGACTGCCTCCTGCAAGGCAAGAGCTGGTTCTTCTCCTTTAGGAATTTCTTATGAAATTACACAAAAACTACTTTCTTTACCAATTGCTCTCTTCAGAGCAATGTAAGATGCGGTGAGTAATTCCCCTGAATCAAAGGGCTGTGTACAATCTGAATTCTGCAGTTAAAATCAATATTCTCAACTGCACATTTTATAGATCACAGAAACTACTGCAACAGAATACTGAATTCTGATGCACCTGAGGTTGGGACATCTATGGATAATGAAACTGGAGGAGGCTGAGGCTTACAGTCAATGGAAGTATGAGGTCTGAAATTGCAGAGAGAGCTCATGATGAAACAGAAACAGGCTGTAATGAAAAAGAGAGTCTCTAGAAATGATCTAATAGATAAACCATCTTATCTAATCATAATATTTCCCTGCCTGCATCATGTAGGATTCTATTACCAGTGTAACTGGAACTATACTCCTTAGATGTCAGGATGCTCTTTACATTGTGGTGGTACCTCCAGATGATTGAGAACCCATAATAGTAATAAGGTGTCAAGAAGAAGTTGGGAATAGTCTTGAAAAACATTTCCCCAGGAACCTGATCTAGTCTGCTCAGAATTTGTTCCATAAGGACAGTGTTTTCCTTTCTGGGCACCTGTAAGATTGCCCCTAATTTAAGTTGAAGGCCACTGGAGAACACTGAGAAATAACTGCTAAGAACAAACGCAGTGCATAAAGGAAATATTTGCTTTGGAGTGCTAACATCTTCCTCATTCTAAGTTCAACACTTTCAGCTGCAAAAGACTTCACCTTCTGGTTTGCTGAAGGTAATCTCCTTCCACAGAGCATACAAGATAATGACAGAAAAATTGTTCCTTGGGTCTTCTCTAAACTTCAGGTTGTATCATTTTAATTTAAGGTATGAGCTTGAATTATATGAAGCTAAATCAGTATGAGATGGTGTAGATATTCTTGTGTCATTAGTTGTCAATTAGCCTGTTCCTAATTGACATGAGCTATCCTAGCTGAAAACAAGTCTTTATAATAATATAGGGATAAATAATGATCCAGGAGGATCAGAGCCTAATGCTGGTAAAGGCTTGTGATCTGCCTAATACGGGTATAATCTGAAGTACCTGTGACTTCTTTTTATGGAAATATAAGTTTCAAGTTTTGCTAATATTACAGTGGAAAGATTAATATTATGAATAAAAACCCTTAAGTAGAAATGAAGCATTACAAAATTTAAAGGTTACAAATGTCTCTCTTTTTTCAGGCATTCCCTTCTTACATGTCTGTCAATCGTTTATCTCAAAGATAATTCTTAACTTCAGATTCATGTGACCCAGAGAAACTTACATTCACTTGCACATGTGTCAGAGATAACGCAAATGTTTTACTACTGTGCTGTTGCACCAGTGGAAGAATGCTTTTGCTGGTATAGATTATGTGCTGAATGTAAATATACAGTGGTTAACTGCAAAAGCAATTTTCATCTGGTATCATTATGCCCTCTCTTAGTTTCAAAGAGACCTCGTGCCATTAAAATGCTATGGCAGAAGTTTTAGCATAGCCCCGTTAGTCTCTGTGCTCCTCTGGTACAAAGATATCAGGACATACCAGCTGTTGTGGCATTGCTTTGTGGAGGATCCACTGTACACTAGTCTGAAACCAGAGCCTTGAAAACAAGTCACTGGCTGCAGTTTTGAATGGCTTTGAGCCAATGACTTAGAGACTAACAGGCTCTGTAGCCACCTGGTGAAAATGAACCAGTCACAGAACAAAAGAACGGCTGGACTAGAAAGGAACCACTGGAGAGCATCTGGTCCAGCCTTCCTGCTAAAGCAGGTTCACCTACAGCAGGTTGCACAGGATGCTGTGGAGTTCTGAACATCTCCAGAGAAGGAGACTCCATAACTTTTCTTGGGCAACCTGTTCCAAAATCAGTTTGTTCTGACAGGTTTTGGGTATAGTAGCTTCAAAATAAAATAAAAAAAAACCCAAAACCCAACAGAACAACAACAAGGTGTCTCCTTTGCCCATTTGTACAGGAGAAAGTAGACCAAAGAAGCTGAATTGAGTGTCAAGACAGATGACCACCACATCACTGTTCTGTGTCTGGCATAATCCATGATACTTCATTTTTGGCCTCTGTCCTAACCTGCTTCAATAGTATAGATAAGCTCTGCATTTTCTCCTTTGTCTTTGTCCAGTGCTGTGACCTGCAACACTGCTGATCCAACTGCTGCTGATTCAAACACTGAGGCTTCATACAATGGGCTGGTGAAGTAGGGACTGTGGTCATTGGAGTCTTCTACATTTATGATGACTCTGGCCAAGTTTCTTCTGTAAGGGAATTCTTGATCTCGGACCTATAGAAGAATTGCATAACACACAATTTGACTGTCATCTAGTAAAGCTTCACAAATATTACTCATTTGAGTGTGAATACTACTTTCAGTTCTACTTAATACAAAGTAGCAAAAAAACCCATTTGTTCCAAAGAACCATCTAAAATACATTCACACACAGGATGACAGGTACTAAAATCAAAGAAACAGGAAAGAGCTTAGCAAATTTTTTTTTCACTTGTGAAAAAATGCATTGCAACTAACCACCATGATGTGAATTTTTGAAGTGGAAACCATATGAGATCTTAAATTTGGGTTGAGGTTTGCAAGAATTTCCTTTTTTATTAATACTTGCTGAATGTTCATGCCTTTATCTTGCCATTGCCTTTTTTACAGCATACAGGCATGTCAGTCTAGTGCTTGTAGCTGCCAATAGACTACTTCATGATTATTTACGTAGATGATCATATCAACAGTAAACAGAGCAGGAATCACTTTATGAAGTGCTGGTAACTGTCAACAGAGGTGTAAATTACCACACCTGTCTCAACCCCATCCAAAATACCTCAGCCCTCCTTCCCTGATAATCCTGCCATCACCACCTCTAGAAAATTTTGGTTCTTCTTAAACAGAGGAAAAGACCTATTGTATCAGGTGGAGATCAAAACCAAGCACCAGGGAATCACCTCTCTTGGTCATGTGTTTCTGTGATTTAGTTTATAGCTATTTCTTAGTCTGCTTGCCAAAGTATTTGCAACATTTTATTCTGTGAGTGGACACCACACTCAGCTGTTCCTTACTACATCTCACAGCAGCTTTTTGCTTCCTAGGATGCCCTGCCAAAGCTGCCCCTGTACCTAACACACCATGAGTAGTTCCTTAGGGGAGGCCTCTTCTGCAGAAGTCTTAAGTAGCTGAAGAAAACAGTAGACTCCAATGTTTAAACTAACAGGGCTTTTTTTATTTTTATTTTTTTAAAATTATGTCCGTGATATACAACCTCCACTTGAAAACAGACAGATTTATGTTCTGTAGTCTAGACACACCAAGGAAAAATTGGTAATTAACTTTTTTCTGCATACCCAAAGATTTGGAAATGTAGATAAAGGAAAGCCATTTTGTATATCAACAGTTTATGTACTGAAATAAGTCCATAAAAGTAAGCTATAAATGAGGCTTGTGTTCAGAAAGGCTGTAGCATTCTCCATGGCAAGAAAGCAGTTATCTCCCTGTGAATAACTTCTCAAATAACTTTCAGCCTCACTTCAGAAATTCTGAAAATTACCTTGAGGGAGAGGACCAGATGCCAAGAGATTAAATAATTACCTGCTTGCTCTCCCTTGAGATAGAGAATCATATCACATTCCATACAATGGATTCACAATAAGGTTTCCCAAAAAGCTGAAATAAAAACTGTGAAATAAATATACAGCAGGGCAGGCAAGTTTAAATTAGTGGCTACTTATTTCACAGAGTCCTTCACTCAAGAGAAGCCTACTCCATGCATGTCCCTGAAGCAGCCATGACTGTGGCCAGACCAAGGGAATATTGCATTCTTACCATGACATTAAGGATGTGCTTATCTTGAGCTTCATGGTCTAATCTCTCAGCTGTGTAGAGGACCCCGGTGTTGGGATCAATTCTGAACTTCCTCATGCTGACTGTGTCGATGCTGCTGTGAATTGTGTAGCTCAGCTTATGCTTTTCATCTCTGTCTATAGCTTCAATTTGCAGAATTTCAGTATCAGGGAGGATGTCCTCTGAAATGGTGACATCATAACTTGGCTGAGAGAATTCTGGGCCATTATCATTGTTATCCAACACTCTGATAAGAACCTACAGTTAATAAAAAAAAAAAAAAAGACATTTGAAGTTATTGAAGTCCAGTCAGACTAGTGAATAAGCACCTAAAGAAATGCAATTTACTTTGAATGGCTGAAGATGTTATGCTGCTGCATGGTGGGACTGAGAAACATTATTTCATACTAAATTCTTATTTTTCAGATCAAAAGAAATAGAAAGGATTTGATTTTGGAAGTAAAATGTTCCTAACTGTAAGACCTACTCAGAGTCTGATGAAGAAGCCCGTATTTTCAGTATCTGTAGATTGGAAAGTATTTCTACAATGGTCATAAGGAAAGATTTTGTCCTTCCTTGTAACTGCCTTGGTTAAAAGGGAGTTCTAGAACTATTATGTAATTTCCTTGCCCCTTCACTACTAATAAAGCTATAAAAGAATCCTTTTCATGTGGTTTAAATCTGCTTTTTACACAATCAAGATTCAGCTGAATCCTGTCTTTTCTGCACAGTATATTGCATTGGGGCTCACTGGCAATGTCAAATTGTGACAGCAGTGGAGACTTCAAGTTGCTGTGACACCTCAGACTGCTCTTACACCACTTGAGGTGGGCACAGGAAAGACAACCTCACTACCACAGAAGCACACCCCACACAGATCAATACATACCACCAAGGACAGCTGATCTCAGGGCACTGATGACACAGAAGGATTATTTTTTTTGTTACATCCTTGCTCTTCCTTTGCCAGTGATGGCTGTCTTTATTGCCAACTAATTCACTTTCCCCTCCAAATCCTTTTGGTGTCTCCTTTTTGTTGAGGTTTATAAATGGTAGAACACTAAAAATGTGAATGAATGCTGAGTTCCTTGCCTCAAATCTGTCTTTAAAACTTCTGTATGGATCCTTAAGGAAACTTGGAGAGGGGGAGAGAAGGCCAGGGTGCTGCTCTTGCTGCCTATTACACCCATTTCAATATATCACAAGCTGACTCTGATAAATAATAGGAATCACTTTTTTCCAAGCTTTGCCTTTCAAAGTTACGTTATGCATGTGTCGCTGTGATGACATTTTGTGGGTTTGGCAATTGGAGAAGTCATTCCCTGGGGAAAACGTGCTTTCCAGACTTTGTATACCATAGATTGCTGTGGGTAGTGTGGCAGCAAAACCCTTGACAAACTGTGTAATACTGAAAGCTGAAATCTGAAGAGTTGACTCTTTTTCAGTGCTAGAAACGAAAAGTATTTTTTCCAGAATATGCCTGTGAGAGCAGTCTAATTTAACAGTAAGTAAAACTGAACAATCTTTTTATTCAAAGGCTTTGAAATAAGAAATAGTCCAATTAATGACTTGGGAAAGGCCAGACACAGGATTCTTTGGTCAAACTAGGAGACCTGACCCATCACTCATGATATTTTCTTTGTTGCTTTGTTACTTGGCTCTCTTTTAAGCAAGTATTTTAATGTTTTGCTTGATCCAGCCCTGTTCACCCATACTTTCTTAAGAGAAGAAAAATACAGCTACACTTTTACTGCAATATTGCACAAACAGATGTTGGCCTCAGAGAGAAATGAAACTTTAGATTTCCATGATATGTGGGAGGGTTTGCAGAATACATTACCAGAAGGAACACGAGCAGTTGTAAGAAGCAGTTGTAATGAACTAACCTGGGAACTGTTCAAAAGACAGCTGAAATAAAATGCTCTGTAAGTTAAATGGCATAAGACTTGCATTCCACACAATTTCATTTTCACCAGATTATGGCATGCCAGAGTGAAGCAGGGTAAAGCCTGTATTAAGTTATGCTTCAGCCTTGGACAGACAGCAATAAAATTGGGGGGAAATACACATTTCTAGGCCTATAATAATGATGAAGAGTTACTTAGCTTTTTATACTTTTATTGTTGCTGTAATATATCAAATATGTTTCTGATCTGACTGAGGAAAAAAACCCACTCAAATCTATGTCTTAAAAATTTGTGAAGAAACCAGTTGTAACATATGAAAGAATGCCTGAGGAGAAGATTAAAGTCTTGAACTCTAATCTAATGGGACACAGAGCCAGTGCTGAACCACTTTTTTAGTGTAAGGAATAGACAGAGAAGCAATAGGAGCTGGGGATAATCAGTATTTGATACTTACAGAAATTTTCTGGAGAAGTTTTGATATTCTCAGTCCTTGACACGTACCACTATAACACAACTGATAATTAACACATACAATTTATTTTGCTTTTCATTCATGACCAAAATCTTTGTCATGTATCATTTTAGACAGTCCAACAGAGAAGGAAAAACTTTTCCAAATGGATTGAAAACACCAAGAGTGCTTGACTCTGCTGATGCTAGTACAGCACAGGTTAATGTGAACAAGGAAACTTCCATGTGAGGGACAGGAAAATCTGTCAAATTATTTTTAAAATTGGTGTGTGCAAGCTGAAGCTGTTCTGGATGGTGAAAAAAAAAGTACAGAAGCACACCAATGCATTTTAAAAGTATTGCTACAGAAGTGACAGGCTATTTTGTTTGCATGGTATATAATCATCCCAGAGCAGTGATTCACTTCCTATAATATCTAATGCATTTTGGGATCACTGGCAAACTGAGAAAGCAGAAGAGAGCATAAGGGTTTAACCCATCCCAAGGCTTCCACTAGGACTGTCCAAGCCACGGCTCCATGATTCTTGCCTTTACTAGACTGCACAAACTGAACAGGGTGGGAGTGGATCAGCAGCAGAGACCAAGGGTAATCCATGAGACTGTGGAAATCACAACATGGATTCACAGAGCAGCATTTCTTTCCACTGAAAAAGGTGTAAGCTACTGCCCTCACACACATATGGACATAATCATGCATGGGGAGTGCAAGACATGGAGGGAAAAAACACAAAAAAATGGAGGCCCTCATTCACTGTCATCAAACTTACAGGGAGCTATGCACTTAAAATTGCTTTGATCATTGCCAAAAAAACCCTTGTTTTTCCTTCTTTTTCTTTTCTCTCTTTCACTTCACATCTACTGTAAGACTGATCAAGTGCCTGTTTAAGTGGCAGGCATCTTCCTCCCTAGAGATGCCAGTATTTTAATGATTTGTCAAGTGATCCACATTGAAATACACATTATTTATTACATACTTTGCACTTCAACTGCACTTCCATCTGGAGATGGAAGACGATGGGTTAGAAATGCTAATGAATAAAGAAGTCATTATTGATTCACAATTTCTTCTATTTAAGCAGTTAAGAGTATTTCTAATTTTTCTCAGCTGTCCCTCAAAATCCCCGAGAGTCAAATGTAATTTTAACATTTCTCTCCTTTAATAGAGGGGGGTGTATTTTCCTTGCAACAAAAGAAAGTTAAGTTATATATGGGAATACTGATTATACAGAGCTCTGTTAAACCTATAAATGGAACTTTTTAATGTTCTTAAAAATTGAGCTATCTTGGGAGTTACTTTAAACAAAACCAGGTAAAAGAAAATGGAGTTTTAGTCCCATTTAGATTAGATATTAGTCCCTTAGTTCTTCCAGCATTTCTGAGGAGCAAATTTCCTGTATTTTGTCCAGGAAAACAATGCCTTGCAACAAGGTTACCAAAATCCCAGGTGAAGTGCAGTAGTAAATCTGGGGAAGGTGTTTTATTTTTGAACCACACCCCTTTTATTAGGTTACCTTAAAATGCCATTCTTCCTAAGCAGATTTGCTGCTCTAGCAGGATAACTTCTAGTAAGATGTTACTTAAAACGAAAGGAAGGAAAATGTGACACTGACATGAACACCAGGCTCACAGAAAACCTGATCCTACAAACATACATGAAGCTGAGTGCCACCAGATTGTTAATATGAGGAAAGTTTCTCAAATTCATTTCATGGCTGCCAACCTCAGGCAGAAAATCTTGGTACTATTGGCAAATTTCCCATTGACTTCAAAAGGGCCAGCAAAAGGGTCCTTCAAGTCTTATGCTTTAGCCAGCTAGTAGCACATCTTTCACCTCAAATCAAGTGTTACACTACTGAAGTGACTGAAAGACTCCCAATGTCTGTGTAATTTAATATTTTCTACATATTTATTCCCAAATGGAAGACATGGCAAGAATGAGCTGTGTGGCATAAATATCCTTCATTACTGTGTAGGTACTGCCCGGGAGTTAAGATGTGACAATACCCATTGTGCACAATCAAAGCCAGGCTTTAAAAGTTTCCCAACACATCTCCAAAAGGTGATGAATGGAAATGTTTACTATTTGCTGGCTGCTAAGCAGGGATTCCTCTTTGCTGAGGACTGTTCAAGATTACTGACTGAACTACTTTTCATTGACAAACATTAGCTGCAAGTCTTTTTTTCCACGCTCATAAAGCCAACATGCCGCAGACCAGTCTCTGCCTGGTTCTTCTTGAAAGCCCGTATCTTTTCCAGTGCATTGTGGGCTTCAGAAAGGCAGGCTTGCCTCCTTCTGTGTCCATTGTGTGGAGCCTAATTTATAGTCTGAACAAGCACCTCACTATAAAAGATCTGCTTCTCCCTGCTCACTTCCTATTTCCCACAGTTAAAACAAGTTTCAAATAAAGGAAGCACGGCCCTCCAAGATTACAAATTAGGCAAAGTAACACTCAGAGCATTAGCAAAGACTTTGTACTCAAAATGGCAAGTGAAAGGCCTAGAGAAATACAATCAAATCAAAGCAGGACAAAATCTAATGCAGGAAGTGTCTCCAAAGCTGTTTTTAATGTTGCCCATAACAAATACCTTTGGTTTAGGCACAGACATATTTGAGTGAAAACTGGGTAAATGCCAGCAGCTGCTTTACAGACATTTGAAGCTGGAAGAATCTGCTTGGCTAATTGCTTGGTCTGGGCACTGTGTTGTAGTACAACCTATTAAGTGCCTGAATTATTTAAACTCAGGTTACACTTTTGCACAGGTTTTGAAACCTATTTTAATTTAATACTGCTTTCAACAGTTATACCACATAGCTTTATTTTCTACTCCCTGTCAGGTTTTCCTTTCCTCCAAACTCCAACTTTAACATAAAAATTTAGTTTCCCTACCAACATCAGTGGCTAGTTATTTATACTTTACTGTGTTCTTTGTGTTATGCTAAAATTGAAAGAAAAATCTTTGCTTCACAGGCAAGGCAATGCTGAGATTACTGGATGAAAAAAAAAAAAAGAAATCAAGGATTGGTTACAGTTTGGAGGAAATGTTCAACAGAGCAAAAGCGAAAAATTGAATTGAATCCCCATGTCTCTTTTTCTGCCCTAGAAGAATCCACAGCCCAGAACTGCTTCTGGCAAGCTCTAATGTCTTATCTGCGTTTTGGCCATGGTTCTCTAAGAAGGCTTTTCACCATTCATTTCAGAGAACCACCCTCACTCAGGGTGACTGATCAGCTCCCCTTCAGAAAATGTTGCAAGGAAAAGGTGATCTCTGAAAGGTGAGACAGAAACTCAGAGTTAAAAGTCAATCCTCAGCACAAGAAAAATTAAATTCTAAAACCTTCTGCAAGGACAGACAGAAAGGGGCAATGGGCAGTAACTTCTGTCTGTTCTTCCAGTGTGGCTGGTTTCAGCAGAGGGTATTGTAAGAGAACATCTCTGGATCTGCAAAAACTTTTCTGAGGGAAGTGCACGTTACCCTCTGAGTGCCTCACTCTACTGGGAAATGTTCAGGAGGTTTTGCAATAAGTGAAACTGAGGTGCCTTTTGATTCCTAGCTTGGAAGCAAAAGCCCTCATGCTCTAACACATCTTTTCTATAGCAGTTACAACGATGAGAAAGAAGAAGAAGGCAGGAAAATAAGGAGTAAAATCATCTTTTTCACATAGCAACATCAATCTAGATGCTGTTCTGACAAAAATAAATTATCTGCTAGGATAACATTCTCAATTAAAGTGAAACATCATAATAACTTAAATGATAGTTCAGTGATTCCCCCCCTGTACTCTGCTTCTGTGGGTATTTTAACAATATTTAAAGAGTATGCACTACAAATAAGTAAATAAATGTGATTCTAATCCTCTGTTGTGCCTCCATGTAAAATATCTGAGTTGTTCAGTAAAAAAAAAGGGATTTCAGATAAACCTGACTCATGACCAGGAGAATTTCTAATGTTTCAGAGTCAAAATTGTGGCAGGAGTAGGCATTTAGATGCCATTGAAATGATTCCTACTGGGGAGAGACCTCTGTGCTCAAGCCAGGGCACCAGACACTTTGCAGGTCAAAGGGAGGTGATGGCCATGGCAGGGAGCAGGGTCACTGCACAGAGCCACTGTCCCAGCTCTCTCCAGCACATGGGACACAGAAGCCCCAATCCCTCTGCAAGGCCAACAGCTCGCCTGGCAGCTGCAGGAGTTGTGTTTCGTGGGAATTCGGAGCAAACGTATGTCTTCAGCTTTAATAAATGACTGCGTGGCCCCAAGCAATGATGGATAAAAGAAAGGGAAAAAGTAAAAGCTTTCCCTGGCTAAGTCAGGAGATTTAGCCGTTCTAGAAGTTAATCACCGTGACTGAAGTTTTATACCCACACTTCAAATACATAAGTGAAACAAGTCAAAATTTCTTTGTATTTTTCCTTCTCCTTTCTTTCCCATCCCAACTACTGGATGGTTCAGGCTTGGATGGATGGGCAGCATGGTGACTGGCAGTGGCTCAACAAGTCCTGGCACTTTGGTTCTCACTTTGGAGACTGCATTTCTTTTGGAAACCTTGATCATACCCAAAACAAGTAGGCTTTTGATAACACAGGAAGTTTGTAACTTTTTTTTTTTTGTTAGCACTCCTTATGTTCTTTTTGCTTCTTTTCACAACAGTGAACCATTATTACAACAGATGTAACTTTTAAATCAAAATGATTTCCTTCCTTTCATGGTACAGTAATGAACCATGTGCACAGTAAGGCATGAAGGAAGTGAACAGTTCTTCGGAGTTTAAGGCATGCAGGAACATTACTGAAGAAACTTCACCGAGTCCATGCCAGGGATCACGTTACCCCAACAAAAATCTTTGGCATTTTTATGCTTTATTTTACCACCTCCAACTGTATAATAGACAAAAGTCCAAGAAGAGATAAAGGAAAACAGCTGGGGTGGAATAAAAAGCAAGAGTGTTCCATTGCACATAGTGATCATCAGCTGTTTCATAATAAACCATCATACTTTGAGGAGGCCTTTAAATTATTTTATTGTTATTCAAAATTGCTTTCTACCTGCTTCGTCTTCTACCATAACTTCCTGCAGCTACAGTTAAAAATGCAGGTGGTACTGTGTACACAGAACAAAATACTTCAAATGTTGTTTTGTCAAAACTCAGAATAAGGCCACTGAGAGCTATCAGTAAATGATCTATTCTATGACATTTTGAAATTAAACCAATCAGTTTTATATTTTTTAATTATTTTTCTAAAAGAAAATTAAGATGAGGAAGGTAACCAAAGGCTCCAAAGTACAGCCAAAAATAAAGCAGGAAAGTTTTGCAAAATGGAGTGATAAATATGAAGGCCATAATTCTGGCAGTTTTCAGAAAACAATCACTTTTGAAATCTCTGTTGTGAAGACCAAAAGAAACACACGCTTGGATGCCCTGGCCACCATTAAATAATTAAACAGTATCCACATAGAGAGAACGTGGGGGAGGGAAGGGTCTGTACACACCAGTGATTATTAATGCTATACTCTTGCAATCTGAAACTATCTTACATTCCTAAATGGGTCACATCACTGTTAAAAAGAATGCTCAGGCTTCTTTCAGAATGCAACAGCTTTACTGAAATATGTTTTTACCATATGTTTTAATTAAAAATGTAGGGGTTTCATCCAACTAGGTTTTGAGGACTGTTATATAGGTCAATTTATTAAATCAAAAGCAGCAGAAACAATAAACGCAATATCCATGAAAAGAGAAATTACTTTAATCCAGCGTGTTTGAAATTCCCTAAGCTTTTTAATACTTTTTTGGCTGAAATGTTTGCAAGAAAGAAAAAAGGTGACATTAGGCATTCAACACCATCTAAAATGTGGCCTAAGAGTGTAGCCAAGATTAAAAACCACAGCATAACAAAAAAACTACTCAAGAGTTGAAGAAAATGCCTTATGGAAAGGGAACATAAAGAGGTCAGTCATTCTCCTTTGCTTGTCTACCGGAAGACTGGGAGGTGATTTGAGTATTGTAAGTGCCTTCCTGGGGAGAAAATAGTGGTTTTTAAAGAGTTCCTTAATTGAGCAGAGAAAGGCATAACGGGGAACATGCGCCAGATATAATCAAGCTTAAAGTTTTAGATGTTTTTAGCAGAGATGCAATTAATTTTGAAACTGACAGGGAAAACATTGGATTTCCTACCACCTAACTTATATCAACTGATGTTTTCTTACCAAGGGTGGATTATTGGGAGAAAACATCAGACATTTTAGGGCTGGGTTATAAACAGGATATATAAACATGAAATCAAATTGAGAAAGCACTCAATGATTTAACAATTTCGTATAAAAGCTGGTGTTGTGGCTCATTGAATACAGATTTACATCTAAAGCATTTGAGCAAAAAGGCAAGGTACAACAGAAGCATCTGCATGTGCATGCATATATGTAAACAAAAAAAAAAGTTCAGGCTTTCCTTCTGAATTATAAAGAAGGAAATAACATCACCAACCTATTTTTTCATTTAGACTTGGGGAGTAAGTCAGATGTAGAATTTCAGGCCGTAAGTAATCCACAGCCCACAACTTTACCTCACATCAAAGGGTTTTGCTTTTTGAAGTCTTCCTGGTGCCCCTGGACCTCAGAGTCCCTGTCCTTGTGCCATGACCCAATTCCAGACTGGTTCCCACTGAAAAGATAGCTAGGCTCTGCATCAGGGTGTCTCCCACAAAGATGTGCCAGAGCCAGCATTGCCCCAGCCCATCACATTTATCTGACCCAACTTTAAAGGCAAGGAGCCTGATAAGCAAGCCTGGTTTTAAAAGGTTCAGCGGGGCTGCTAAGCAGAAGACAGTATAATCACAGGCAGTGACACTAAAGGAGGGATTCTTTAATTTTAAGTTTTTCCTCTGAACAAGTTATTTTCTGAACAATTGATCTCGTGTCCCACATTTGGGTCTTTGGAGGATGAGAGGTACAAACTCCATTTAACACAATCAATAGCAATATTCCCCAACACCATGGAAGCACTATTGTATTTTGAACCATTATGGGGAGAGGCAATTGTCAAAATCCAGGCTTTGCTGCCTGTGATAGGGACACCCCCAGCTGGAGGAAGGCAAATTACTTTCATGTGAGCAGGAAGAGAACAAAAGGAGAAATAACGCTTTGAAACATTCAACAGCCAATTCTTTACAGCCAGATGGAAAGGCTCTGAAAAACATCCCCTCCATTAGTTATTGGTGGTCTCAAAGGATGAGGTTTCGCTTGAATGGAAAAATTAATAACTTTTATAGCATATACATTCCAGCAACAAATGAATAACTTGCCAAGAAAGGAATGTGATATTCTACCTGAGTTGTGGCAATGTTTGTTCCATCGGTGACCTCCACAGTCATATTATACATTGACCTCTGCTCTGCATCCAAGGGCTTTGCAATGACAATCGTGCCCACTCCCTTATACGCGTCGAAAGAACTATCGTAATTCCCTCCTAATTGTTGCACAAAAACACAATCACATTAGCCATTTCTTGAAGACTTCCATTGCAAGTATTCCTAAACGTGGGCATATCTGTTTAGTGTCATCCATCTTAATGGCCTCTCTTAGCATACACAGTAAATCTAGTGATACTTCTTTGTTCATAAGCCATTTATATTCCAAAGCACAGTTTGTATATTGAAAAGCAGATATCATTAAAATGCATTGCCAAAAATAAAGAATAAAAATCTAGCAGTACATTTAAGTAAACCATAGCTGAATCTATAAAAAGAATCAAATGGCTATAAGCCCCTAAGATGTGTGCCCTTGTGGTCCAAATAATGAACAAGAATATTTATCTTTTTGTATAAAAGTAATTTCAAGATGGTTTTATTCTACATATTTTATTTTCAGGAAATTCTCACTGATACTTCTGCATGCAAATACTATCATCTGAGTTTTTAAAAATTAGAATTATAATCAATTTAAGAAATGCAAATAAAGATTTGTTATGTTAATACCAAGGACAATGATAGTAACTGGCAGCAAAGGTCAAATCCTGCCAGTGTTTTAAGAATTATTCAAATAGACCTGGCAGGATACACAACCTAAATTCTTTTCAATACAGAAAAACCTCTCACAAAGCATTGTTCTAATACTAACATCCCCTTTTCCTGTCTCAAACTGAGTGCTGCAGCAGTGGGGAAACCCTCCTGAGTACTGAGTGAAATAAAGAAAAGAAAAAATCTATTAACAAGTAAAATAAGGCTATAAATAATATAATCTCAAATATAATTTCAGATTTGAAGGGGTACAAGATTTGTCAGCCACAGCTACAGTTTATAAATTTGAACCACTCATTATTTTCAAAAGCGCAGCACACACTCCCTGCTGATAAGCTGTTTTCTAACTTACTCATCTATGAAGTGTAATTTAGTATTAGTTGCGTTTGAAATTTTTGGAGGCTAGGGACAGGGAGAGGCGGGACACAACACTGCTGACAGACAAACTCTTAAGGTATATTCATAACAGCAATTCAATGCCAACCCTGCTCTACAGTGACAAAAAGCCTTTCAAACCCCACTGGTTATGAGACTCGTGTAACAGCTGCTGAAAGCTCTTGAGATGAGGTCCACAGGTAGAAAAATATCCGTCCTATTGACTTAGCTCTGGTGAAATATATATATGTAAAGAGAGATATATATGAATGGCTGGCAGTGTCACAAAATGGCTCTCTGAATTTTAGGGCTGGGGACTGAGTAGAGAAGAGGAGAGTCTTCCATTCTCTCCATTCTGCATAGTTTGTTGAACAGGAACTGGCATTATTTTCAGAAGCAATCGTGCATTTAGTGAGGGAAGAATGTTCTGGCATTTGAAGAACTGAAGATTAGAAGAAAACACAGTAAAATCATAGCTCCTGAATTCCTTAATGTGAAGGAACCCTCACTTCTACCTCTTCCACAGGCTATTGCAAAGAAAGGGGAAGGTGGAAGAAGTACTGCTCTGTCCATTTTTGTCTTGAAAGACATTCAGAGATGGATAGAAGAAAATAGGAGGAAAAATAATAACGCAGGTGATTGCTGCAGAGGAAAGAGTATTGGTGAACTTCTGGCCACTGAAATGATCCAAATGTAGTAATTTCAGATGTGCCATCAGATTTCCACATGGTGAACAGATATATGTACATATATACAGGCCTTAGCCTTATAGATGAAGTTGTGGTTTTCCAGAAAAACATCACCACTGGATCTGTTGTCATTTATGGCAGATATTGCTTACTCCTAACCCTCATCCTGCAAGCTGTCCTTGATATTTAAGCAATAGAAAGGTATTTGGACATTGATTATATATTTTTTTTAAGTTCGTCTGAAAGAAAAAGTTTCTTCCTCCCAATTAATGTTTTAAATTGATTTACTTGAGAAAAATTGCACCATGAAAACCTCCTTTGAAGAAAAGAGCTTGAGATTCATGCAAGGAAATCTCAGCTGAAATGAAACTAGCCTTGGGACAGTAGGCACTTCACAAAGAGAATGTTTCATACTGATAACCATGAAAACAAAGTGCAAGTCTATACTTTGAGATGCTTAATAACCATCTTAATGAGCAATCAAAAATTATATGCTATCAACTGGCACACCCTTCCAAAAAATCCTGCCTTTAAAACTTCCAAGAAGTAACATGGAAGGATTAGCAATAAATGTTTTAAATGACCTTCTGCTGGCTCAGAGCTGGATTTTCAGGGCACCACATAGTCTGTTGCAAATAGACCAACTTCTTCAGGCCACTTCCATTAAATGAAGCATAAAAGAAGAACTGAATCCATCATGTGAATTTTTTATACATTATTCACATCTTCCAAAACGGTCTAGTGACAAACAAATTAATCTTGGTTGCCAGCCACCCCAGCCTGTAACTAACCAGGCAATGCAGTTCATTTTACATTGAATCATTTTCTATTAAACAAGGCAGAAATTGCATCAAACACTGAGGCAGAGATGGATCAGAGAACATCCTGCAGTGAGATTTGTGATTATAATCTATTTTGGAGTGAAATCCTGAATTATTCATGATTCAGTCTTCTACATTTTAACAGACCATGGTCAGATGAAGAACCATGCAGATGGATGAACAACTGGGAATACTACCTGAGACACTGGGTCCTGCCTCTCAACTGCAGTACTAGAGGCAGCCTGCAAATGATTTGTGCTACTCTTTGGCCTCTGTATACACTCAAAGCAGGTCCTTACATGACAAATGCTTCTGAAGCTGCACTAAACACTGATGAATTAATGAATTACATAAAAAAGTTAAACATTTAGAGTCTTACAGATGTGTTAAGTCTATGCAAGGCCTATAATTGGAGAAGCATCCACCACAATAATCTTTGAAAGATGGGTGCTGGGTTGCACTAAGAGAGAGGCATCATTCTCGTGTAAAAACAAACAGGAGTCGTCTCTTTAAAACACTTGCAGCTGGAAACTCCACATGAAACCACTTCCATCCAAAGGTGCCCATGTAGAGGTTGGAGGGCTGGGGCCCTAGGAGTTGACAGCTGAGGAGGTGTTGGCTTCTGGGGTGCTGGAGGCTGTTTTCGAAAGCCTGATGCTTTGTCTGTACCAACCTTTTGGAAGTGAGCTTGTCTGCAGTGCCATAAGCTCCCACAGTACCAGTTTTAATAATTTTGCTATTGTCCATTTAATAGTTTCTTTGATCACAATCTTCAGATGAAAGAGGGCTAAGGATGATGGCATTTTGTTCAGCTGCTGTTTCATTAATATGAATTTTCATTACTAATTCCACTTTCCAGCATCTGGCACATGCTTTCCTTTTTACTGTCTACTAAACCCTGCTTTCAGATACAAGATACGTAGAAGCTGTCTTTGCTAATGTGCTTGCAATTGCATTAGGAAAGAAATATTTCAAATGAAGATAATACACTGCGAGTTCCTCAGGCGCTTTGGGAAAATCAGTGACAAAGAAAGCAAGATGATTGCACTGACAATTTGGCTAGACAGGTCGTCCTGAGAAAGCATTTTAATACTGAATAACTCCAGAGAGATGTGGATTAGCTGTTGTCTATAGTATCAATTCAGGCTAAAATGTAATAGTGATACATCTTCAATACAGTTTAAAGACTTCCCTTAAAATAATCTGATTAGACTGAAGCACTTTGAGTAAGATTTTATGAAAAGTCCACATCTACTTTAAATGCTGTCTTTGGATGAGAAGACTTATCATGCTGGAATGGTAAAAATTAATCCAGAAAAAAATTAATCCACTTTTTCTCTCTAATTGATTGTTAAGATTCCCAAAATTACCTAGGAGATAGTTATGTCTACACTTCAGACAATTATAGTTAAGTGAGATGACTTCCACCCTTACTTTCTTGAGGTTGATCTTAATGCTTTTGCAAAAGCCCTGGAAGCATTAAATTTTCAGAACTAGTAACTTTTGTAACTAGTAATTTTTAATGTAATCTAAAAGTGTGTTATAGCTTACATATGATTTTCCAATTCCAGCTGCTTTCAGTACAGCTGTAGAAACAGCCCCTGGTACAAAAGATCTTATTAGCTGGCCCTCACTACAACTCTCTAGAACAGTCTTTACTTTCAGTTTAACAGATGGTATAGTACAGTTAAGAAAGAGATCCCAGGAAATTGAACTGAGACACCTCTGAGCCAACAAACTCTTAAATTGTGTACTTGGTATAGAGTTGGTTACATTTTCTGTCTGAACCTGGACTTCTACCTTTCTTCTTAGCTTATTTTTTGGCTTCATAGTCACTATGAACAATTTTTCTTCTGACAAAAGTCCTGTATACTTTGGAAAGAATTGATTTACCTTATTAAAAAGATACCTAAAAAACCCCAAACCACTGAACCTTGCGAGGCTAACAAGAGAGGTGCAATGGAAAGGCCAAGGAAAACTTGAACTATCAAAAGCGATTTCTGGGGGTCGGCTGAAGAATTTGCCTCAGGCAAGACATAATCCAGATCTTGCATTCCCACAGGACGTAGGCTCTGCATCTCTGGGCCTTTTCTAATTTCAGTGTTGGGGTTTTTAATTTTCAAGCATATTCTTCTTATATTGCATTTTGCTGCAAGCAGTTAATTTTTTGATAGGGCTTTCCTAGATGTGGTTCCTTTTTGGTATCGTGTGGAGCCTCCCCATGTTCCTGTCAGTTGCTGATACACACTTTAAGATGGATCATGCTGCTGGGAAAAATAATTTTCTCCTCTGAGAAGAAAACATGTCAGCAAATCTGGAGGATTTGTAGGCAGACGAGTGCCATATGAGGAACTTTTTCCAAATTTTCCAGTGGGACAATCAAAAAGGCTGGGATTGAATACCACCTCAGAAATAACTGAAGACTGCAGAGAATCAGACTTGTTCAGGCTTAGATGCAAAGATGGATCACACTGAGCTCTGGAGGACATCCCCAGTTAAAACACTGCTAAAACCTAGCAGGAGTCTTCTTTCACTGGCAGGTAGCAAAGAGCACACAATATTTTATGTTCAAAATTAATAGAGCCACAATATACGGCTATCCTCACACAAGTCTCATTTGGCCTACCATGCCATTATGGACAAATGGAGAAAAGAAATATGGGAAATTATCTGACTTAGAGAACAGTCCTCTAAACCACATTTTCTCAGTGCAGAGAAGATTCTTACTTGTCTGTCCCAAAAAAAGCTGACAGCAGTGAACAGTGATGATAAACTGGGCCAATTGCTACAATTGTCACGTTGCTCAGGGAAGAGAATCAGAGCAAAACACAGGAAACTAATTCACCCTGAAACTCAGAGGCGAGGCTAAAGTACCTCTAGAATTTTCAGAAAAAGAAGCAAGGCCAAACTTTTAGTTTCTTTTGTTTTCAAAGAAGATGAAATAAACTTAACGACTGTCTCAAAAAACCAAAAATTCAACTACAGACTTTTTAAATCATAACATAATAAATACTAGTAAAATGACACGCAAATATTTATTCTTTTATGTACTACATAATGCTAAGAAGGAAGTAATGCAGACTCTGACTTTTAGATAAAACTACTGTAAAGAGACTCAAAGCCTTGAGTTTGCTGCTAAGAAGCTGAAAGCAAGGGCATAAAAAGCAAGAAAGAAATCAGGAAGGTATTTCAGACAGTTCTCAGAAAAGATTATTCAAAGAAGGCTAGAGAGCTACATGTTTCTGACTTTAATGAAAACTTGCAGCACTATGAATTAAATGGACGATTAACTAAAATTAAGAGATATTAAAATTATTGGCTTTTAAACACGCTTGGTGAAAAGTGCTGATGTGGTTTCAAAGCTTGGCTGCTGTTATAAAGGCACAGGCTGGGGGAGGAAGCAAAGATAGAGGGAGGACTGTTTGGGGAACCAGAGGGAGTGCATGTTCTTTTGCATAATGGATGTTGTGCAGCATGCCACTAAAGCAAAAACTAGCACCATGCAGCTTAGCTCCAGTGTTAAAGTAGCCATCCCACCATTCCCATCACTGACAAAGGAAAAAACAGAAAGGGCTTAATTTACCTGGTACAAATAAAGGTCTCTGACTTATCTGGGAGTTCCAACTGAAAATTAGTTTCTCATTAATGACTAAATAAATTGTAAACTGATACAACTTAAGGTTATGTCTTTCACACTGTGGGATGTGCATGAATTGAGAATGGTATTGAATGCAATCTGAAAACAGAAACCAGGTATGATATTTCAACTATTCCCAATTAAAGAAACAAACACTCATCCAAGTATCCTGTTCCTCTCTAGTCTATCAATGGAAAATGACCTTCCTGCCTCTGTGGCATCTTCCTCTCTTGGAGCTGATTAACTCAAGAACTTAAACACCTACCTAAAGTATATATAATTAAGGTGCAAAGTTAGGCAGACAGGACACTTTATAGCCAAACTTTATCTGCTGTCCCTCTCTTTTTTTTTGTCTGGGAGAGAGTGCATGTTATGCATTAAAAAAGAGATCGTCTGGAATTCCAATGCCCATTTAGTTTGAAAAGGTCATAAAGATAAAGGTCAAGCTGCAAACTCTGTATTAAACCATGTCTCTACATAAGCCTTCAGGGGTTTTGTTGACATTACTGTGAACTATGCACAGAGGTTCAGAATCACGAAATACCAGATGGAGCAGGATCAGGTCTGGTTTTACAGCAGCACAGCAACTATCTCTTGCATCAGCAGTCACATACAGCTTTCTATATATGACAATTAACTTCTACAAATACCCCATGTCATTCATTAGGCTTTTCAGCACTAGACCTCAATGTTGATGACATCAAGGAGCAATGAAAAAAAGTGGGGTTTGACACTGGCCAAAGGCAGCAATGGTTATCTAAATACACAGTGTTCTGTCTGTAAAACCCTCAGGATGGGTTTTGTCTTTGCTCCTTGCATGCTGAGTGTCTGGAACAACAAGGTCTTCTGCATGCCCTGGATTGTTGGCTATTCTTGTAGCAGAAATTGGTGCTGTTGGGAGTGCAATTATGTGTAACAGCAGCAATATTTAATGAAAACATTCATATGGTAACAAAACCAAACTGGAAGGTCAGGGTCACTGATTTCTCATTAAATCTAGGAAAGCTCTGTCTCACTGACCTCTGCAATGATGCAGCATCTTGCAGCTTCAGAAGCTACAGCCTGCAGGGAAACCATTACAATTGTTTAAATAGGGAAAATCTTTAAAACATTTGAACTAGTTTAGGCATAAAGGCCACACTAAATAACAGAGGCTAAAAATTCCTAATGTTCTCCCTATCATCTGTGTCTGGTAGGCAAAAAAATCAAATATCATTATAAGGCGTTGCTTGATTGAAAGTGACTCCTAATAATTAAAAAGAATATAGTGGAAGAGCAAGGGCGTCCCTTGGGGCAGCATTTTAATGAGAGTTGGTCAAGCTGCCAGGAAAATGACCAGAAGAAGTCCAGCAAAAGGTTCAAATACGAAAAAAACTGTCAATAACATCAAAAAAGATGGATTTGTCTTGGGAGGAAAGGTTCAGTGAAGAAGGGAATGGAAATGTAAACATTAGCTTATAAACTGCATGTAGCATACTGAAGCAACCAAGGAAATGGCAGGAAAATTGCAGGAAACATATGCTGTCCTCCCCCAGGGACTAGAAAGAACCCCAGAACATGGTAGTAGGTTTGGGTTTAATTTTAATATGATTGGCACATCAGAAACCGTGCTACAAATTCAGAGAGGAAGCGGTGCTGCTTCTGTCTTTCATCTGCACAAATTGGAAATAAAAGGTGGATGAAAACGACTCTGACAGACCCTTTCTCCTGTGGTCCCTGTCCTTCCTGTTGGCTAAACCTATCTGCAAATAACTACATTGATATGGGAGCCAGGCTCAATCCCTGTAAAAAAAGACTGCTGATGCACACTTTCTGCTAAGTCCATGGCAAAGGCTTTTTGTTTCTCTAATCTTTCATATAGCATTTGCTTTATAACCCTTCATTTAAATAACTATACTTTGTGCAGATGAACTGTTTTGCATCCAAAGGTATGCAAACACTACATACAAGCATCTGCAAATATTAAGAAGCACAATAATTTTCCAGGGAAATTCTCACTTTTGAGATGTTAAATGAGTTATTTTAAATGACATTAACTCAATCAGCAGCAGAAGTGGGAAAGAAATGCTTAGGAACATTGACTCCCATTTCTCTACTTCAACCAAGTGAGACTCTTTGCTCCCTGTCATTTTGGCTGCTAATGGCATTTCCCTGCGATTTTAAGACTTCTATGGCTTCTCCTCCTTTTTACTAAGGATGCTTTTCCCTCCCTATTTTTATAAGCAATTTTATGTAAGACAATTTTGTGGTTGAAATCTCACATCAAAACACATTTCTCTGTTTCAGCTTGCATTCAAGACAAACTTTTGGTGTCTCCATTTGTAACCCATATGTTGAGGCATCCCATTCTGTTTCACAGTTAAATGGATGGCACTGGACTGTGAAAAGTTTGAATTAATTATTTGTGATAAACTGTGGAAAATCCGTGAATAAAATGATAATAATTGGACACAAATACGGTTAAAGCTGTCATAGAAAGAAATGCAGCACATCCATGTGTCGCATCGCATCCTGTCACAGGCACTTATGAAAGATGTAATATAAATTGTCTCAAAAAAACTTGCAAAAAATAAAAGGCAGCCTGGATAGTTGTATTTTAGCAAATGTGTTTGCACTAAGGGTACCTTCTGTTGAACAGTTCTGCCCACAAGCTGTCTGTAGAATATAGAACATCTCTCGAGCATGCTTGCCACCTTGAAGCAGGGCAGTCGGAAGCAGAAAAAAAAGAACAGAATGCAGAAAAAAAGGTGAAGAAAGAGAGAAATGAGGGACAGCAAGTCTAAGTACCATAAATACATTTAGAAATGAGATTAGCAAAGTATGACAATAGAATTTAAATGACAGACAACATTAAGATTGCAGTAAATAACATAGTACGAAAAAAAACCAATTCAGCCATACAGCGCTCTTTTTAAAGCTTAGCTAAAGAGTCATAACAAAAGCAGGAATATTATTTATTATTATTATTATTAATACTGTTATCACTATATTAAAATAGCATTTTCATTTCATCATTAGGAAAATGGATTTAACTGGGGGGGTGGGAAGGGAGGTGGGGAGACAGTTCACGGTTAGTTTTCTTGCTCTCAAAACCGCACAGCCGTGTGCTTTGCTTCTGGGGCGTCCTCCTGGCACTGCTGGCTCCCAACTTACCGACGATATCGAACCAGAGGGGGATGTTAGAGGGCTGCACAGACACCACCCCGACAATCTCGGTCACTTTATCGCTCTCCATGACGGTGAAGTTGTAAAAGGGCTCGTCAAAAGTCAGGGGCACGGGCGAGGGCGCGGGCTTTTTTATCCACTCAATATGGAGACGGGCAGTGGAAGATTTTTGGGGCCGGCCATTGTCCACTGCTTTTATCTGGCAGGCACAAAGAAAAGAGGGCTCAGGCTGAGCATCTCAGCTTGGCAGTTCAGAACTAATTCTACTGCAGTGTGATGACTCCTTGGAAAATGGACTTTGTAACCTTTTATGTAAAATCCCACCAAAAAAACCCGACAAACGCTTATTTCTTAATTCTCACTTTTTTTTTTTCTTTTGCATAATGCTTTGACTTTTCACTGAAAAAGGTGATTTTAAACTGAAATGTTTTGTTTAAGAAATGCTGGTGTGAGGCCGCCTGCAGATGCAATTCGAACACTCCCCACACAGATCCTCCTCTCCAGAAGCAGCTTCCCTCTCTGATTTCATCCTGTACCCAGCTCCTTCTTGCAGCAAAGCTGGAAGCTTTGTAATGACCCTTTGTAACGCCATGCATTTGCAAAATGTGCTCACTCAGAGCATGTTTGACTGCTTTCAAGTGGCATCTGTGTTGCAGATAAGTATTCCCTATATTGCCTTATTCAGGATCTTTAATTGAATTAAATAAGTTTCAGGTCATTTCCCTCATTCTCCATAAAAAATATAATTCAAAATTTTGTCATGTTTTCTTTCTCCTCTCTGTCAAGTTCATTAAAAATTGCTTTGCTTGGTGCTATTTCTTTTTATTATAAAGTCTTCTAGAAAGATGGATAGGCTTGATCTTTGTGTGACATGCTTTATGGATTTAGCATAGCAAAGACAAGATGAGCAGCAACAAACACTGGGCATAAGAAAAGGCTGAATGCAGGTTACAAAATAGGTGCTTTGGTGGATAACATCAATGTTAACAAAATGTTAACCTTTCTTTTTAAAAAGGTAATGTTTCTGGCTATATAGGTCCACTGGTATAAATATGCCATTAGAATACCTTTTAAAAATAGGAAATACTTTATTTTTCTGAGATATCATGCCCTACTTCTTCCTCTGGAAATGTGTTAAGTGTGTTTGATACTAACACTTATCACTCTCCATTCCAAGCAGGCAGGCCCTTTGTGAAAAGATACTGAGGGTGTGATGAGCAGTTTCTAGTTAGAAAATCTTCAGTTGTTGCACTACAAGAAGGCTCAGATCTCAAACATGACTTTGAGGTCGCCAGAGGTAAAAGTACTCACTCACTCGAAGGCTGCTCTACTCTGATTCCTAGGTATTTCTAAATGTTTTGTTATTTATTCATTTTCCAACATTATGAAGGTAACCCACTTCTGTAAGATACATCACTTCCAGATGTCAGACCATGGACCTCTGACATTTTTATTTCAGCTCCTCAACTACAACTTGTTGGCTTATTCCTGCACATGAAGAGTGCACACTCCAGTCTTATATGGCTTTATATCAACTCAGTCATATTTTATTCCCCCTTCTTTTACTTTCACTGTATGGTTAGAGTTCTGAAAGAAGAATTTTGACTGAGCTTTCTTTTAACTGAAATTGCTTCCACAAAACAGAGTACACAGTACTCCTCCTCTCTTAGATGCAGCCACCTAACTGGGACAGTAGGTGCTCTCTATAAGGGCAAAAAATTGTGTTCACACCAAATTTAAGTACCCATTTGTAGCTTTATCTGCCCAGGCCAAGATAATACAACTTTGGGAGCAGACAAGTACTTGGTCTTCATTCCTGCATATTCAAGGGAATGGCTTATGGTAACAATTTACAGGCTGACTTCACACTCCGAGAATACATCATGACCTGCAACAGCATGAATGATCTCTCACACTCAGTTTTTCAGCAGTAGTTTTGTGTATGAATACTAAATTTCTTAATTTAGGTCTTACATACAGGGCATAAACACAGTTATATAGTCCTCTTTATACAGGAGGGCCTATTTCTTAAAAAAAAGGAAAACAGAAGTCAGTCAAATAATGAGTTTGTGTGTCAATGAAAGAGTGGTTACCGTTAAGATGTCATAACTCCCTGCTGTGAACTGCTTTCTGGAAGAAACCATCCCTGTTTTGGGATCAATGAAAAACTTCCCATCATCGTTCCCATCCACAATGCTGTACGAGATCTCTGCATTAGGGCCTTCGTCTTTGTCAAAAGCAAAAGCTCTGTAGATGGGCTCCCCTCTTTTCTTACGGTCCCTCTCTGGCAGCTTGATCTGATAGACTTTCTCTGGAAACTGTGGTTTGTTGTCATTCTCATCCAGAACCTGCACCACCACCCAAACGGAGGATTGTTTGGGGGATGTGCCCCCATCTGAGACGGTTACCTGAAAAACAGCAGTGCCAGTTATTCCCAACAGCCACAGCGGGACTCCAGAAATTGGAGAAAAACATAAAACATAAGGAAACACCTTGCCTTCCCCAAAGCTAACTTGCAGCTCACAACATTGTCTGTGTACACAACACATAATTACTATAAACATTCTCAGTGCTTAACTCAATTTGTCCAAAACGGCAAATCCAGAAGATTTTTTACTTCTGAGATGAACGTGGAATAAGGAACCTGCAGACTAGGAAGCGTTTTCTCAAAACATTAAATCCTTTTATCTCAAATTCTGCAAGTTTATCTCAGAAGAGAGAACTGGAATTAACCCATTAATCAGGGATCCCTGCACTTTTTGCATACATATTTTAAAGTTTCTTCTGTCACGGAAAGAATTTGAAAGATGCATTTCTTCTTAAACCCTAAAAGAACCTCTGTCATTTTTTCCCCATTAATTATTTGGAAATTCTTAAACAACAAAAGGATTTCTGTCAGCTCTTTTCATTCATTACCCGAGACGTGACAGCTCATTAATTCCAAACCTGCTTTATAAGATTATAAGGAGCACAGAGAGGCAGGTAACAAAAAATTTCTGCTGCATTGTATAGAGAGTGCACTGTGCTGCCAGAAACATGTAAGAAATAAAATCTTTGAGATGAAAGTTAATTAGTAATTTAGCTGCAACTTAAACAGAATTACTAATAATTTTCAATCTGAAACACTATGAAAATGAAATGATTCAAGATCAACAAGCCCTCAAGAGATTTAGTAATATGCCTTCAAAATGAAATCAATATGTTTCAAACTTCTCCCTCAATATTTCGATTGCAGTTTTAATGAGAAAGAAATAAGGCAGAAAGTTATTTTTGTTTGCATGAAAGAAGTTCAAATTTCATTTTCAGCTACATATGGTAACATGCCAAATCCCACAGTAGCAATTTCTGATGATAGTGAGCCAAGATATTATATATCCTTCTCTGCTCATACTGATCACTGCACATCGATTGGTTTGCTGGTAACTTCTTGATGTTTTATTTTTCCTTAAAAGTTCCTCTGTTCCATTGCAAATACTATAGTCCTGATGTCCAGTTGTTAGGCAAAGCAAAATGTCCTGGGAATAATACCCCTTGGCATTTTCCCATCCTTGTGTAAAGTCTAAACTTAGAGTAACCCCAGTTTAACACTGAGATCAGCAGAAAAATCATGTTTTCTATGAGAAAGGTAAAAGACATTGTCCCTTTCCTGTATTTAACTATGTGTTTAAAAACTGATGCAGTGGAAGGGAGCAGACTGACAGCCACAGGGGCTGAAACAGCTCATTTACAGAAAAGTGAGGAGCATGGCAACATACAGTGGCAATGTAAATTCCCCAAAACAGCCCAGAACCCACTTGGAGAGTGGAACCCATCCTCCCTACAACACATACCAGTCTCAGGCCTCTTTCTCCCAAGACTGGAGTGGAGTTTCCTAAGTGCTGAGTTGCTTTGGCAATTAGCAATTGTTGGGATCACCACTGCTGTGATGGGGACAGCTGTTTGCAGAGTGCTGGATGGGGATCAGACCCATCCTGCAACGTGACATCTGCCAATCACCAGCACAGGGGTGTGGGAAGAAGACCCACACTATTATCAGTGTGCCGAGCCATCCAGTTCCCACTACCAACACTTTCCAAAACAGCATTTCTAGTGCTGAAAGGCTGTGAATCTGCCTTTCCACACAGAGCTACTCCACCAGGGACCTCAGCCTCTCCACTTCACTGATGATCCCCTCTATTTCTGTTCTATTCTGTTGCAACTGGCCAAGCTCTAGGCAAGACCACAAGTTAACAAAGGAAAACCAATTTTTGGGTTTCTCCACAGAAGAAATAACCATTGATGACATGCAGTACAGGCTGTATTGCATGGAAACAATCAGAGACACACTAACCCAAACTCAAAAAATATCAACAAAATGCTTTTTTAGGGAGTAATGTTTTTGCATTAAAAATACTAGCGAGATTCTGGAAACTCTTGTTCTTGGAACAAATACAATTTTTTTTTAAGGCATTTTCTTCAACCTGCTAGCAGTAATCAACAACAAAGGTGTGTGAGTGAGATTAAGGGTTCACAACCAACTATGTCAATAAAATCTATGAAAACCTCAGTAGTATAAACAGTCAAACAACTATGATGAAAAAACCCTACCTAAGTCAAGAAAGAAGTGAAGCATCCTTCTGTCTTACCAGTACATTCTCACAGTTTGTCACTTTACTGCTGAAATCCTGACTAGCATGGTGTTGTGGCAGCAAATATCTGCTTGCATTTGTTTGTTTTGTAAGCCCAAACTTGGGGGGAATCTATTTGATAACAGAAATGTTGCACTGAAAATATTTGCTGACAGCTAACAGGAAAGAGTAATGGCAATAATACAAAATGACAGCTAATTAATAAAAAATAACGAAAAATGGACTGAATTTAGTAAATTTTACTTGGGCTAAAACTTTACATCCCTGTAGAGGAAAATGTTAGGTACCAGCCTTTTTTTTTGGGACACATTCAAAACTTTTCAAAATTTCAGGATGTAGCTCCACTCAAAAAGCTCTGAGTGCCAGACACAGGAGCTGAAGTTCTCTCTTTGCAAGCAATTAATTAAGCCTACCTCACACCAGTGATGTGATTATTTCGCCAGCTGTAAATCTGCACCCTGGCTGAACCCTTTTCTAGTCATAAACAAGGTAAAAGAGCTGCAAAAATTTTCTCTGCCCATACAGAAAAAAACCCACCATGGGTTAACAACACATTAAAACAAACCAAGAAATTGCTGCCAGCTCAGAATTGTTCCCAGACAAAAATAGGGAGAAGAAGAGAGGTCATTCAGCACATCGCTCTGCAAATACCATTTCCATCAGGACACAGTATCACACCAGCACATAGGGCCCCTCTCACCAAGGCAATTTCGATCCAAACATTACCACAGCTCCTAGCTAAACCCTTGAACAGCTGGAAACTAGAGTAAAAAGTAACCAGGGAGGGGAGGGAGGTTAGGATGTTCATAGGACAAAGCTAAATCACAGCTGGTATCACTGGAAATGCAAAAGGCAGATGTGCAAGGCACAGGAGAGCTTGCAGGAGAGAAGCTGTAATTTAGGACCAGTGAGGTTCTTTTGTTTAAAAACCTGCAGGCAGCATGGTAGTAAAAAGAACGCAGAGACAAAAGGTAATGCAGGTGAATGACATCTGAACGACATCTGTCATTCACCTGTCAGTCTGAGACAGACTGTCTCCATACACACTTGTCAAGATGTGCCATCGAAAACCCAACAAGAGGTGACTCACAGTAATCAGTATGGGAAAAGGGTAAGGACAAAATCATGGCTTTCCCAGTGAAGATGAGAACAGCTGCTTGGTCAGCATATAGTGAACACCTTCTCCTGCCTGTGTGATGAGTCTGGTATCCAGACCCACCTGCTGCAGACAAGCTGCTGCTTGACCATACGCAGCTGAGATGGACCAGGACAGCGCCTGTCCCCTCTGCTGCACTGGTTAGATATTGCAGCTCCTGCTGTGTCAGGACAGCCTGAACAGGGGATACAACCTCCCAAAGCTGGGATGCAGCCATGAAAGCAGCTGAATTTGGACTCCCTGACTAATCAGACAAAGGGTTGGTCCATTCAGTGAGGGTGGAATGTCTTAAAAGGAATGTGATTACATATTTAATAGGGTCTGAATGCAACAGATAACAAAAATAATATGCACTATTATATGTTTTCATGGTGAAATCCTAAGCATCACTGTTTTCTCAAAATCAGTTCCACTACAGTTTTCTCCAGAAAATGAGCACTTTCCTGTAGGAATCTGTATCTACGCATTGGCTTTAATGCTTATGAGTTAACCAAAATATGTCTGTCAATACACATATAGATACCGGTTACCTGGGAATTTCTTTGCTAAAGTAACAACAGTCGCACCTCCCTTACAATGTTTCCTTTAGCAGGATGGACCAGGACAAGGCCTCCTCAAATTCCCTCTTCTTCTATCAGATATGCATTTTTTGAGAAAAATGCATTAAAATGTCTCCTTCTGCAGCATATGACAAATTCAGTATAATAACAGAACTTTCTCTCCATGTAAAACAATTTCCACTTCTGCAGGATCTACTTCAGCAGTTTTGGTCTACAGACATTAACACTCCCTCCCCTACAGGACTGAGAGATATTAATGTTTATGTTCATGTCCACAGAACAACTACAAAGGGATTTCCATAGAAGTGGACCTTCTCAGTGAAAATAAAGACTGACACTGACTGTTAACATCCCACAGCTGGAATGTTAGATGTGAGAATTTCTGCTTTTTATGACTATGGAGAAGGCATGGAGGAAACATCTACTGTGGAACTACTGCCTAATAATCTAGCCTAATGCAATGGTCACAAAAGGAATTTTGCCTTGAGACAGTCACTCCTCCTATGAGTCAGACTGTGACACTTATTGGAGAAGGTGTAGTTCTTGAATCTTTCAGAATGCAGATACAACTGTGAGGACCACCCTTCTGAATTAAGAGTACTATATTGAGTCTCATTAACAAAAACTCATGACTTCCAAGGTAATTATTAACTCAGCTGGAGGGAGTAGCTAGCAGGGATGTTACTTCAACAAGTACAAGACAATTAGCAGGTGTTTAATGTGAGTCATCAAGCCTTGAGAACAAGTATCTTCTTCCATATCATTCTTTGGCAGGAAGAAGTACTTAACCTACCCAATATTTAAATTATGAGGAACTGTCACATCACTGTCATTAGCATTGCAAAAAGCTGAAGATTCCATATTTGCTTGTTTATTTTTTTAGTGTGATAACTGCTTAATGCAAAATAAAGTGAGCTGAGATGCTTGTACCTCATCAAAGGAGCGTGTACAACGACGTTTTCAGGTAAAAGTCTCTCCCTTCCCCCAACAAGAAATGCTAATTTTGCTTCAGAAAACCTTAGAAAAGAGAGTCTGGTTAAGCTACTGAAGGCAGAAAAATGATC